ATGTTTTGTTGCTTATTGGGAAAAAAACAACTTTATAAGTTTCTGTTCTTATGGTTCAATGTTTGTACATGATGTATATTATATTTGTAGACTATTAAGAAATCGATTCCAAACTAGAATAGAAAAAAGTCACTGTACGTAAATTAAATTGAAACTGTTAAAGATGATTTGACCGAATAGGTTTTCCAATCAAATGACAAATAAATGTCAAATAAATTGTCTAAATTTTCTATCTACACTTACTCAGACATAGGAGAGTCTCTTAATGCTGTCTCAAGTTTTTAAAAGGGCTCCGGAGGTTATTTATTTTCAGGATATTCCTCTTGTATAATACATAATACATATATACCATATATATATTTACATTTACACCATGACTATTGTTTTTGTTGTCGTTAATATTCGTAGTGCAATGCTTTTATCATGTGTTCTACGTATGAGATTGAGCAGCCTCTTCTGCCTGTGCTGTCATTTTAGGAGCACAGAATGCTGGAGGAGTTATTGTTCCGTTCCATTTTCCAGTTTTTGCTCACATGAAAATACTTGTTCCTCATTCCTTTCAGTTGTATGATGGGTCTTTTATATTATAATTGTTTGCGGCCAGTCAAAATGAGGTGTACGTAGCTCATTTATGAGGTTATAGTCAAATCCCAGTCAAAATATGACATTCGAGGCAGATTTATGATCATCATCCTGACACATCTGAAATCACTACCCTGTACTCTGGTCAAAAGATTCTTGTTTTGTGAAATTGAAGACTTTCTACATGACTTATTAAATGCTGTTTGAAAGTTTCAATAAAAGGTTACTAAAGCTTCATTCGGACTTGCTGCACATCATATGTGTCTACGCAATTATTAGTTTTGCCCCTTTTGATTTGCTGATTCATGCTATTATTGCTATGCCATTATTGTGCAATGAACTTCTGGTCAAGTCTTGTTTTAATCTGTACTATTTTTTAACCATCCTTCTATTAAGACATATTAAAACTGTTGAGACAGATAACATTGAAGTCTTGCTTCTTTTTTTAAGTTCAGGGAATTGGTTTGCAGTTGATTTGAGTGGGCTCAAATTCTAATCCCTTTCCTTTTGTCTGCTGTTCGCCTGTTTCTGAGCCTGAACTAGTGGATGATAAAATTCTATTTAGTTCTCTATAACGTCACACTCATAATGTAACTGCCTTAGTCATTTTTTGGCAGGTTTGGAGTTTTTGGCTCTGAAATGAAGAGCAGAGCCAGCTTGGTAATATAGTCTGTATAGTTCACTTTGACAAAAGAATAATCCACATATAAAATCAGTTGAGTGTATCAAAATTCCAACATTTCGCATTTTCTCGTTTTCTAAAAATGTCTCTTATGAGTGTGACGATATATATTTTTTGTTCTATTGCAATTCTGTTGCAACCAGTGTCTAGTGCAGTGGTTAGAGTAAGACTCTTTGACTTGCACAAGGAAGACACGAGTTCCATTCGCGTGTGTGGAAGTTATTTATTTTTTTATTGATCATCTCTGCACATGTGCTGGGATGTAATGGTCTATGCTGCCCATGCTGGCTCTGACAAGTAGAGTCAAAGCAGTCTACCTCATAAATAATCTAAGTTGTGTCAGCGGGGGTGTAATGTATAGCTACAATCTTTTCGTATTACAAAAATCTCACTTTTAGTAAGAGTTTTTTAGGTAAGTGTTTTACGGCGCTCACAACTGCATAAGGTCATATGAGCGCATGGGACGCATTATACTTTTTCAGTTGGTAGGAAATTTTGAATTTTGCCTGGGTGGCGGCCAAAACCTACTCTTATCAATTTCAGACCACCAAGGGATCTTTAACGTGCGCAACTTGTACACGGGCCCTCCGAGATTTTTCGCCCTTGTTCGAGAAGGCTAGGTGTAGATCTTTCTTACTAGAAGATCAGGAGTGTGGATGAAAGACAGCAGTAAGAAGAAGCCAAGGAGTAGCAGTAGAAAGGCTGCAAAAAGAGTCAGGAGCCCAGGGGAGGGGGCAAAGGAGGTGAGGGGGTGGGGGCAGAAAGAGGAGACGACAGAACAATGCTAGAGATCACGAAAGGAGGTAGGTGAAAGGAGACAATTTTAGAGCAGTAAATTTTTCAGTCGCTACCCGGATTTGAACCCGAGACCTTTGAAAGAGAGGCCAACACCTTTACCTCTAGGGTACGAGAGCCCCAGTAAGTTTTATGGCATTTGCAAAACAGTAAGGTCATATACGTGCCAAAGATTAGAGGTGTTACAAAAGAGTAACAAACACAAAAAAGAAAAAGGAGAGACAAGGATGATAGATGTTCAATAGGAAAGAAGGAACATACCACACCAGAGCACTCACCAACCACCCACACATCTCCCTTTATCCATCAATGTATTTTTTTTAGTCAAACTACAAATGTAACAGTAGCAGATTTAACAATACAGTCCACGACGGCTTTAAGCACGCCCGCATAAAGCACGTTTCGGACTGAAGCACGCTAAACGGCTCTTACCGAATTTTTGCTATATAAATTACACGCCTTTAAGCACGGTAACTTCGGCTTCAGGCATGCTTCATTTACAAGACAGTCAATACTTTCATGATGACCCATCGAAGTTCGAACACAGTCTACACCTCAGTAGTGAGTGTGTTAAGAGAAACAAAAACAGCGCAAGTGATGGACACACACATGTGCAAAGAGGAAGGCAGAGAGATGCACACAGCCGCACGCATGGACATAGGATCTCGCCTAGGGCAAAGCTACACACAGACAAAAAAAAATACAAAGAGTGTCGAGGAGATGAGAAAAGGAGGCAGGCGGCGATTTCACCTTATCGCCTCTCGCTATCCAATAATCCTGATTCAGTTTCACGCGCGAGGTGGGATCAAAGACCGTGTTTTGGGGGGATGAAGGCGGTGGTATGAATGTGCACAGCGGGCAGTGGTACGCACAGGCAGTGTGTAGGCCTTGTGTGCTGTATCATGACTGACCGTCTCAATTAAGTTTTCATTTCCCAATTTGACCACAAAACAAAACAAACAAACAAATGAAAACTACCATGGGCGGTGTAAATAACAGCACACTTTTGTAGGACCACAATAGGCCTACTTACAAAGGGAAATAGCACAGGAAATTTTCTACATGAAAATCTCTGGATTATATCTACTTCACACTCAAGCACGCTTCGGCATTAAGCACGCTTCAGCTTTCTTCCGATAACTGTGCTTAAAGCCGGCGTGGACTGTACCGACAAGGAAGTATTTAAATCCCAAAAAGACTACTTGGGGAACAAAAGCAAACAGAAATAGCAAACAAACCACATTTTGCTGCAGAGATAATTTTTTAATTTCACTTTTCTTAAAAATTCCCCTCCTCCCAACATCATCAACAACTCTCGTGTCTCTCAATCCAGACTCACAGGTTCCCTTATACGCTCAGAATAAACTGTCTTGTAAGATGAGTAATAATCATATAACCTAAAGTTTAATCAAATGTGGTTGAAGGTGGGTAAGAAATATGTATCAATAAAAATATAACCAAGCTTAGATACAACCTCCTTCCTTTTCATACAAAACGGTTAAAAAAACAACACTGGGTGAATAAACAATTAATACCATAACAGAAATCAGTACAATGATTGAGACTCGAACCTTTTTTCAAACGACCTCCGGCATAACCAACTAAACACTATGATCAAAGAAAAGCTTGTTTAATGACTGCAATGGTACCTTTTTGTAACAAACAAGAAAAACAATAAATAACAAAACCTTTCTTTTTTTACGCCTCTTGTTTGTGAATGATAACCTTGATCCTAAACACATTGAAAAAAAATTCCAAAGACATTTTGGACATTAACTTTCTGTACAAATCTATAAAAAAATTAAGTTTTCTTCTTAAAAGTACATGCATAGAACAGGGTGGGGAAAGCAGTGTGATGACACCATAAACATCCCACAAAATAAAAGCACCTTCACCTTCAGATTACTTAACAAAACTAGAGAGTTCTCTTTTTCGCCCACTCTCTGCCTGATCCTGCTCGCAGGCAAAACTGATTAACCTGCCTTTCCCAGGGATGAAAACAGATTATTACACCAAACTGAAAAAATTAATTTTCAGCTAGTGCTACTAGAAAACATAGTAAAAGGAAGTACATTTTTCAGAGCATTATGCCAGCATAAACACAATTGGAAAGGTCACAAAAACTTTATATACCATAAACTGAATCATCTCAAAACTCATAATAATTTATTTGAGTCCCATACACAAAGTTTACATAACCTATAAAGTAAATGAAATGTCTCAGAAATATTGAACCCTTCAGTGCCCCTCAGTCTTAACCTTATGGGGAGGACAACAAAAGGAGATTGGACAGAACCTAATCAACATTATTCCCTATCATTACAAAGCTAATAACTTGCTTATTAAATCTATAGCAATTCATCCTTGAAGCTATACAGATGTGCAAACTTGTACAAGAAGCAAAGTAAAGGAGCATTTAGATCTCAAGGTCTCAGTGAACTCTACACCCCCCCCCCTCCCACCAACTAACTGTCAATTGTTGACTCTCCAACATTTTCTTTGGTTCTCCACCACTGGGCATCATACTATCATACTATTCAGTAAAAGCAGAGACTGTTTAATGTAGCTCGTTCCTTTTGTCACTTTCAAAACCGCTTAATGAGATCCAGGATACCTCCATTAGAAAAGAGAGAGGTGTAACAGGGAAGTAGTGAACAGCCATCCATCCTTGGAAAAGGTGATGCCAGCTCAGTGTAACATCTCTGTATTGGTAAAAGCAAAGTATACCCCTCCTCCCATGTCTTCGCGCATTACAACAATTACCATCTTTTTACTAAGAATTACCAAGGTCTATCCGAAATTTTCAGCTGTTTTGAGTTACTAAGACAATGAGGTTGGAAATCAAATGTTCTATCTGCTCCACCAAAATCGTAAGATTTTTCAGAGTCGTTATCAAGTTATTCAAAGAACTGCATTAAAAAAAGCTTGACATGTTGTGCAAGTCAAAATTTTTTATATAAAATTTCTCAAAACTAGGTACTGAGAGCAGATAGAACTTTGTAATTCTAGGGTAGGGAATTACAGCCCACTGTTTCCTGCTCCCAAGAGATATAGCCCTGACCCTCATGGTGATCATGGAATGAATGTTGTGGACAAGGTCAAGCAGTTCAAACATTTCAAACAATGGGGGGAGGGGGGGGACTACACTTTACTTTTACTTCTTTGTCTACACTTGTTGACCCATGTCATTGGACAAAACAGCCAAATAAATCTGTCTCATTTCAAGCTTCGGTACTTGGAACATCTTCAGCTCCTACAACCAGCCGCAAGGCTCTCTCAGAATTCGCAGACCTCAAGTTCAGCTTAATCCCAGCTGCTTCTGGTTGGCTGAGAGCCACTGGTGGTAGTCATTGAGCTTGTGGTCTGTCGGCTCCACCTGCAGAGGTAAAAGTTTGGACAATATGTTTGAGATTTCCCTCCATTTCGACATAGATCATGCAAAAAGGAACAATGTTAAAAACCACAACTTTATCAAGTATCAAAAACCGTTCAGCGAATTTCCTCTACACCAGGAAAGAAGTATACTTAATTTTTCAAAAGGGAACAGCAAACATTAGATTATGAACCAGTGAAATACTGCAATACCCCTTGAACATTGTCCATGATTGAGAAAGAAATGTAATCGACGATAAAACACAGCTGCTGTATATAAAATGGTCTCTAGTCTCAGTAGATTCTTTAAAATTTTCTTGCGCACAGCTGTAGAACATGGAACTAGAAAGATAGAGGGGAAGTAAAAAATACTCCAACAGTAAAAGAAACAATAATTGCAAAAGATGAACAAATGTCTGACATTTTAGATTTGAAAAAATTGGCCTCACCTGCTTCCATTCATTGACGCAGAAGATCCGATATGAATCATTGCCATATTTCCCAATGCCATGGAGTTCAATGGGATATGTCCATCTTTTTGTAAGGAACTCCTCTGGAAAAAACAAGAGAAAAAAATCAACTTGAAACAAGGACAAACTACTTCAATTTACAGGATCTCATTCTTATAGACTTTTGCTTTCTTAAGCTGGGTACAAACACTTCAATACAGATAAACAAATGACACCATTCCAGTATAGAACATGACATGACGTTAATCGGTACCATTTCCTGACCCTCCAGGAAATTGCGGTCTTGCGCGTTTTTCGTCAAGTTCCGCAATAAACCCGCAATTTTTTGCAATTCTCGCAATTTCTTGCAATTTTAGGCAAAAATATATCAAGGCTTTAATTTTAACAGAATTTTTAATACGAAATGGTGCGAGTACAGAGCCGAGGCCTTCGTAAATCATGGTATCGGCCCAGCTCAAGCCTACTGAGCGTACTCTAAAAGCTATAACCGGAAATTCAGGCCGGAATGCATCATGTACAACACGAACTGAGACATAGGCTAGGCCGAGAAGGTGGCCTTCTCTGGGCTAGGCCTTTATCTAATGTGTGTAAGCGTGCGCGTGTGATAAGAAAGTAGGTGTGTGCGTGTGTGAGGTGTACGTGAGTGTGTGTGCGCGCGCGTGAATATTGTTCGTACATGATGAATGTGTCTACATACACGGTAACCCACCGGAATGAAAATTAACTAATATTTGTCCTGTGCTGTCACTTGTTGAAATAAAAAAAGAAAGTTATACACGCGTCTTGTCGGGCTCGCCATCGTTACCAGTCAGTGAACCTGTGCTTTCGCATTACATTGTGAGTACCGGTTGGGGTCACCAAAGTTCATTCAAAGTCTGTGCGCTACGAAGTATACGGCTCCGGAATGGGGGAATTATTGATTTTATTTTTTATGTACAGTCGGGGGAGGGCTGGAGTTGAAGGCAACACCGGAAGACAAAAAATGAACTTGGAATTCTTAACTGCCCGGTTACCGTGTACGTGACACTGAGACTACGTTCCCGGTTGCCATTTACCGTGTACGTAGACACTGAGGCTAGGTGTCCGCGTACCGTGTACGTAAACATCCCATTATGTAAAACGCCTTAAGCAGCGTTCACATGGAAGTGGGTGCTATAGAAATGATCTAGATGTACATTAGTACATGTATTACTATTGTTTATAAATTATAAATGGGGGGAAAAAATTTGCTGTATTTTACGATTTGACTTAGACGTAGTGTTAAAACAATACCATCCCGGTTTTAAAACAGAAAAAATCTGAAATAGATCTAAATACAGATTACCATTGTATCGAAGGTTTCAAGAGAAAAATAGAACAGGATCTGATTTGATTGGAGCATAAGCTTATTATGTATTTAGAGGTTGTTTCGAAAATCTGTCGTCAATTTGTTTGTTTTTTATAGACTAAACCTCTTACACTTCTAGATTTTTTGCATGAACCAAGTACCCTGTATGTACTAAATTTGGTCAAATTTTATGCCTTCATTAAAAAGTTATTACGAAAACCGAGGGTTCCGTTATTTTGTGTCACGTGTTATCATATTATATTTGGTTGATAACTTTATTGTTAATGTACTCGTGTGTTGTTACTAGTAAATGTTAATAACATTTGATGAATTTGTATTGTTTGTCATGATTTTTTAAAAGGCTGTGCTGCTTTTATGCTACCGGTACTCAAAATTGTCAAGTTTTTTAACTAAAAATGTTTAGCCCGTATTAATGCGCCTGGGATGGGAAGGTTACAATTTTTTGCAATTTTTAGGCGGTTTACCTTGCAATTTTTTGCAATTTTTCTATTTCAAAAATGCAATTTTCCGCGGGGCCAGCATTTCACATAATGTCATGATGTTCGTTCCAACAGGCAGAAAATCAAAGACAGCCTTATTTAACCAAGGTGTCTTTCTTTTGCCTTGCAGTCCAGCATACCCTACACACCCTTTCCAGACCAACTCTACATACGAATAAGCAAAAATAGAAAAGGCAAAAAATACTGATATCATTACAAAATTGGAGAACAACCCCCCCCCCTCCCCCTCCATATGAAATAACCACCCTTTCATTGTTCTCTTCACTCGTTTTGTATCAGTCAATGTTGATAGAGGAAAAAAGTTTTGAAAGATGCACAGTACTTTAGTACTGTATTTTAGTGAACAGAGTACCACACCACAAATATTTGATTTTCCCTAATCCTCAGTTTCCAATACAATGCATTAAACTCAGCATTTCTGCCCAATGCCCAGTGGTTGAGGGTGAACCTCTTGATCAGTTATATTGTCAATGGTACAAAAAAGCATTGGAAAATTATTTTTTAAAACTCAGCACTGACCTGAGAATCTGATGATGGTCTTGGATCGAGTATAGTTGAGACCAATGGGAAACAAGAGGCAAGCCATCTCCTCAAGGTCGTCACTGTGAACACATTCCGGGGTCGGCCAGCGGTTGAGGAACTTCCACAGGGTGGGTATTGCTTGGCGACCTGACAAAGGAACACAAGGAACAATAACTTATCAATAAATACTAAATGCACTGCTCTTTCCTCATTTACCAAACAGTGTCCCCACCAGTGCCTGGACTCGCCAAGAAAAATCATAATGGTCTTTATAGTGCAGTGAAGAAGCAAGACAGAATAGACAGAAACAACAGAAGGAAAGAAAAGAAAAAGGACCTACCAGTGGCACCCTCCAACCACCCGCCATCTTTCAGCCTCAACTTTCTATTATCTATTTGTGGTGGCCGAATTTTGCTATTCAAAAGGCTTTTTAATGGCTTCATCACTCGACATGTGGTTTTCACCAAAAGATTCTTTAAAATATTCTCCAGATCATGACGCCTTTCGTTTTTTCAGTTTTGAGACAGTTTTGTGCAAATAGCTAAATTTCTTTATTCCGCCGATCGCTTTTGTAGGCTGACGCTTCTGTCTCTAATTTTAGAAAATCCGCCAGGTTTGTTTATTTCAAGCCGTACTTCCGTTCGATACCATCGCGCATTGTTGCGCAATACTGAGCACTATTTTAAGTGTGCAACCCGTATAGATCTAGCCTCATGTTGTTTTTTTTACTTCGTTCTAAATTCGACTGTGATCCTTTCGTTTGATGCCCATCATTGCTTTTTCTGGACTCCTTTGTCTATTATATATTTGGCAACTTGGAAACACATGGGTCACTTTTCTCTCAAGATTTATTGCTCCATTCCAAAAGAGTGTAAATATAGTAGGCCAATGACTTTCAGTTGATGTTAATGCACCGATCATTCCTTTCATCGAAAGGAGGCCCAGCTTGTTAAAATATAAATCTTCAAAATAACCAAATCAAGGTTTTTTTTCACGAAGTAGAGCTGGGTTTGGAAACATTCTTGTCATTCCTATGCAAACAGAGCAGCTGGCTGTTTTTGAGTAATTTTTAAAAAATGTACATTTACGTGCAAGTCTTTAAGTCTTGTTATACCAAAATACATTACATGGCCATTATCAATGAGTTCAACCTTGTTCAACAAAGAATCAGAAAAATCAGCTACTCTTCATTCACATACTAACCAGCAGGTGCAACACTATCAAAGGTAAACTTTTATACGGAGTAACTTACTAAAGAGTAGCACACAATGATTGAAAATGATTTTACACCCCCTTCAACACAATTCTTAAAAATTGGAACTGGGCTGTTTTGACACAGCACCACAGGGCTAGACAGGGCTGTCTCGAACACTTCATAACAGAAAAAAGATGGGTGTACTGAATTTAAAACACCTTTCCCACAAAGGGAATTGCTGGCGGATATTTGTTTGACCTATAAGCGATCATCACCACGATCACCACCCATAAACAACTCCACTTTTTCTTGTAGCGTTTTTCTTGTTTTGTTTTTCTTGAAACAGAACAACTTGCACCATGTCAACACATTTTTACATAACCTACAAATATCGGCACCGAAATCAGGACATGGGACCAAAAAAAAAGACCACTGACCTGTAGTCTTGTTGAGGAAAATAGTTGCAATCAATAGCTTCCATGGGTCGTGGAACAAAGATTCTTGTACGAGACAGAATGGGGAGCGGGGAGGAACCCACTTATCATCTCGCCTCAGTTTGAGTGGAGCCAGATTGTCTGTGTTGGACTTCTTGAAATACTTGCTTTTCATGTTGATTGCTGCGAACAAATTAGAAAGAAGAAAAATTAACTTCTGTTATGACTCAAAATGGCCAAACAAAAAATTAATACTGATGATACCAAAATGCATTAATATAGTGCCCAACTGACAGTGGCTCAAAGGGACTAAAATTTTCGCAATCAAACCATAACGGAATAGAACACATGAAACATACATGAAGCTACTTAGAATAAAACAAACAATTGATTTAGTGTATTTTCAGAACGATACTTGGGTTAAGTTTTTTTTCTAGAATACAAATTTTTTGGGAATAATGGAGATCTCACAGTTTATGTACATAAATCCTTCCGTTCTTCAGCTATTTTTTAATAATCTTGCTCTTCCCCAACAAAATCACTAGGCAATTATAAACTCATTACATTTCAATAGCACGTTTAAACAGTCAAATCTGCCATGACGGTCACCTGTACAAACGGCCACTTTTCATTTCCCCCCTTGTGTTTTTTTAATATATGTATCTTACCTGTGTAAAACGATCACCTGTCCAATGTGGCCGCGGCCACCTTATTTTATCAGCCTACAGCCAAATTTACCTGCCCATGGGTCTCAACTCAGAATTTTTAAAAAGGAGGAACTTTCCGCGTGATCGCGACAGAAGCCCATTTTCGCGAGACACCCACTATTATTGTACTGTTGGACCCTAGAATGTTGAAATAAAAACCATCAATTTATCAAAGCAAGGTTATTTCATACCAATTTGAGGGTTTGGAAGATAATTTCAAGTAAGAGTAAGAGTCACTTACCAAATATTTACAATCTTGATTACGTACAGAAAGTGGAGGCGCACTGTGGTCTTGTGCGACTTATTTATATTTTACCTTCATCATATTCGCCTGCATATATAAACTATATAAAAATGAATCTTGTTTTGAGCCTGGGAAAAGGCCTAGACCCATAATATCGACTGTCATGAACCAGTCTGGATGTAATGATTCATATAATAAACGTGAAAGACAAAATTGATGCTCAAATTCAAAGTAGAGTAACAACTTGAATAGCTCAAGTAAACCTATTCAGTGTGAGAGGTGTAAGAACTGTGGGAGGGCAAGATGCAGTGACACTGAAAATCTGCGAATCTTGAACAAAAAGCTAAAATATAGAGACATAATTTACTGTCACCCATCCAATGAAATGCCAACACTTAGGCCCCTGCCGTAAGTTCATTAACACGCTTACAAGTAGTTATGACGGATCCCGATTATACACAAGGCATGCACTAACGCACACTTTACTTTGCAGAGAGCTGTAGTAGTAATCAAAATTCTAAACATTAAAATTTGCTTCCAATTTCTTTTCTTTTTTTGTCCTCTGGTGTTGTGTCCAGCCCTCCCCCCATCCCCGAGTGTATCTTTTTTTTAAAAATCAATAATCTCCCCCCACTCCGGAGTCCTGTACTTCGCAGCGCTCAGAACGCGCACAGGTTCATTGACTGGTCACAATGACGAGCCCGACAAGACGCTTGTATAACTTTTTTTTCTTTCTTTTTTGTTGCCCCCACAAGCGACAGCACAGTGACGAACATTATTTTCATGGCGACACCACGTTTGTAATGCAGAACCTGCATGTTACAAATGTTGCGTATTCAGACTTTTACAGACAAATTTCTGAGATCTTGATTTTCCGGTCGAGCCTCGGTGTCATAAACAATTCCACTTGCCGCCATAGCCGCTTGTTCGCATGAAACGTACTCTCAGACCGGGAAAAGCCGAATTAACATCACAATCGCGACCGGCAAAAATGAAATTAAAGACGTTATCGGATTTGGTTTTCAAATAGTATTCGAGATCTTCCATGTATTTTCCCGCGTCTCTGCGATTTTTTTCGAATTCCCGGGTAATTCCCGAGGCCTGGCAGTCACTCTGCTTCCAGCAACTCTCTTTCTGACTGACCCGCTGTCGCGGTAGCAGAGTTTAGAGGAGGAAATGGCAGTAGCGGAAATCCGCTAAATAGCGGAATATTGAGACCCATGCTGCCACAGATGGCCAGGCGTGGTCACACATCGCCAGATGCTTTGTCATAAATTTTTAAACTGCCCGTGGCGCTGTGGATGGGCCGTCATAATCCATAACCTGTCGTTATTGTTAGTCTCTCCAATGAATGTTTACCCAAGTTGACCAACGGGTAACAATAAATTTTCAACTGCTGTTTAAGGTAGCATGTGATTCGTTATAATCTATAAGCCGCGCCCACAATTCATAAACAAATGGTATGTGAGGTGACTGGTCACTGTTTTGTTTACCTAAACTGTAACAAAGTAACAATGGATGTTAACGTTAACTTGCGACAAAAGCATCGCTTGTATGAGCGGTGGCGACTCAGTGTTTGTTTAACTATGGCACTCAGTTTTCATTGTCTTACATTCGTCTATTTTGCCCTTGCGCAAAATCAGCAACAAATCCTCCTTTTTCAAAAGAAAACAAAAACCTTTTTTAATTTGCCTTACGGCAGTCCAAAGCCTGAGATCAATCCCGGTTTGGACCTCAAAAGGGAATGGTTTGCTTTCTTCATTTTGATCAGTCCTGAATAAGACAGCCACCTGTGTTATACGGCCACTTAACTCCATGACAATGGGTGGCCGTTTTACACAGGTTTGACTGTAGCCATTTAAAAAGTACTCCACTCCAAGAGAAATTTCACTTGAAGCCTAAAAGTGAGCTCATTAAAGCTTAGAGTTTACAAAAGACCAGAACAAAGTTTTTAAACTTTCTCTATAAATCAGGGAGACATAATTTGTTTTAATTTGAACTTCCTTACCATCACTGAGCATGTAATCAGCCGTCAAAAATTTGGGGGCTTTGATATAGCTCTGAAGGGCCAGGAAGTCTGAGATGGAATTCTCTGTATCTTCATCTGGCAGACTTTTCCGGTCATCGTACTCGTCGTCTAAATGTGGAGATGTGTCAGGTTTCTGTTCTTCCTTCTCACCTCCCAACTGCTTCTGGTAGTCCTCCCAGGACAGTTCCTCCACACCGCTCTTCTTTGGTGTCACCTCTGCAGACTCGTTCTCCGCAGGAGGAGTTTCCAGTTGTGAAGAATCAGCAGTCTGCTGCAACGTGGATTCAGGGGTTTCCTGCTCAGTGGGAACAGGGGTTGTTTCCGGTTTTCGTTTCGGCGGACGGCCTCTCTTTTTCTTGACAACTGGTGTGTCAACAGCTACAACAGGTGGGGGACTGACCATCGGCGTCTCCTCAGGGGCTGCCGGCTGCTCTTCTTCTACAACCATAGGTGCTGCTTCATCAGCAACAATCTCCGGAGCAGGAATGACCTCATCAGTAGCAGGTTCCTCAGCATCATTACTCTCTGACGGAGCCTCAACTTGGGCTGCCGGGCTTTGTTTGGGCTTGCGCCCTCTCTTCTTAGGTTTGCGGCCTACTTTTTTCTTCTGTACAGGAGCAGAACTTTTTATACTTGACATTAGCATAGAACTCGGTTCTGGAACATCATCATCATCATCAGGGAAAGCGAATGGATCTACAACACTGGTGTCAGCTGTGGTGTCCATAGCAGAGGCATCTAAAGACGAGCCCAGCAAACTTGTGTTCGCCGTAGTGTCTTGAGAAATATTTTCAGTGCTGTCATTAGCGTTCTTTTTCGGGCGCCCCATTTTCTTTTTCTTCCCTGGTTGACCCTTGACTGGCACTCCCTTGATGGGAGAAGTCCCTTTCCTTTTAGTAGCCTTTCCCACCAACTTTGTAAACTGCTCGTCCTCCATTGGAATTTCTTCCGTCACCATCTCAGCCTCAGCTGCCATTTCGTCTGGAGCAAAGTATGAGCAGATCTGACTAGACTCTTTCTTGGTCATTTTTCCCTTGCTACTACTACCAAAGGGCATTCTAATTACAAGTTTCTGTAGTTTCTGCGGGCTGTCCTCCACTTCAACAGGTTTTTTCTTAGAGAATAAGCCTTTTGACTTTGCTTGAACATGCCCCTCTCCCTCCGCTATAGACAGTTTAGCATTTTTGAACAGGGATTTATTGTTCAGCCGACCTTTGGCTTTCTTCACACCACTCTCTGGCTTCACTTTCAGAGCCTGAGCCTTCTCAGCCTTTTGTGGAACAGAGCTGCTTTTTTTCCTCGCCAGCACCACATCATCTGTGTCAACCAATCCTTTCTGCTGTAGCTTTGACATGCTGAACTCAAAGAGCTCCATGTCTAGGTCAGCTTTGTATTTCACAGCGTAGTTTGTAACATCTGTCCTGGACCTGCACTTGACATTCTCTGGGCTGTTCAATAAAAAAAAAAATTATAATAAATGATTTCATAACTGCTATAGAAAATCAACATAAACTAGGTACCAGACACTAAATTTTCAAAGTAGCTGTATGCCAAATTGATCTGTTCCATTTGAAAGGCCTATATCGACTGAGCATTTTGGTACCATTCTTTAACCACTCAGTCAATTTTTAAGAAAAAGATAGTTGTTTAAATTTGTTAAAGTCAGTCACTGGCTGCAACCCCATGTTTGACAGACAATAAAAGAATACCAAGTGCACCAAACATCTCCACATTAACAGAGTACAATCACTATAACAAATAAATGGAGCTTAATTTTTTTTAAGACTGTGAGATCATTACAAATCAGTATTTTATCACCTCAAACACGATGACCTGTCGTTATTTCGACAAAAACACCGAGCATTGACCCGGCCGGCGCCGCACCGGCCCCCGCGGCGAGCGAGTCTGCTCTATACTGTAGTGTACCCCGCGTGCGGGGTCACATGCTTTCCGAGTCTCGCGGAAGGATTGATGAAAAATAATTCCAAGCTGATTACTTTATTCTTATAGAAAATGAACTGATCTTTTAATTAATACCTTTTTTAAGCCGGTGCTTTACATATTTTATGTAAAAAGTGATCTTTCAACATTTTGACAGCATTTTTGAAAGCTTTCTATTTAAATGCCAAAGGCCAAATATATACCACGGGAAAGACCGTTTAAAGCTCTACAGTTCTTCGCCAATGAAAAGACTGTATTTAATCATCCCTCGTTCCGCGAAGCATTTGAATGCACGCGTATCAATTTTTCAACCGGCCGACCACACATTCCGACCGCGAGGGGCTTCACTTTCGTCGGCGATTCTCCAGCTCCTAATAATTGGACATATAAACAACTTACATCATTGTAACGAAGAAAAGCTGAACTTTTACAAGGTGTACGGCACTTGGTGTTTTATAGCGAAAGAGCAAAGAAACAGCGATCGCAATTACCCCGATTTCACCAATACCACGCAGTCGGAAGGCCATGAGTGCCCGCGAGGCCATGTTTACGCTACCTACATAAACCCATGCGACTGATGCTCCAAACTGTGCTTTCATAAAAACTGAACCATGGACCCCGGTACATAATTGTGCTTAAGCAGTAAAAAGAACTTTGAAAGAAACTAACACAAATATAGGTGCCCACTACACTAGAGGACAAAAGTTGTTTTTTTAAGGTGACAGGGGCAGTGAGGGGGCGGGAACAGAAAAGAAAAGAAAGCATAAAAAGAAGTGAAACAGCATTACCACAGCAAAGTAAAACACCATGAAGAGACAGTTGAAAGCATCTCCATATTAAAGAGATAAAAAGATACATTAAAAAGTACACAAAGCATTCTAAAACACACCCTCCCCTCACAGTCATAACTTCTGCATCTTTCCCAAAGAAATAGGTCTCAGGATGTAAAGGTCAAAAACCTGATTCTTAAGTCTGAACAGAATTCTGCCAGGTGAGAAAAAAGTCCAAAAATAAATCCAGGGTGAACATTTTTGTTAAAATGGAATTGACATTGATAATAATTCCGGTTTTAAGAATTGTTGTAAACCATCACTTCATATAACGAAACTGACAACAGACCTGAAATAATAGATGTCATATTTGCCGGCAGATGCACCAGTCAGACGCTGTACGGCTTTCATGGACCATCCATTTGGCAGCTCTCTGGTTTTCGTTCTTGGTGTTGCCGGCGAGTCCACCACAGGGCTCGCTGACTGTTCTGCTTGTTTGGCTGGCTCAGGCGTTTTTGGTACAGCTTTCCCTTTCGGCTTTCTGCCTCTTTTTGCAGGACCAGGGGTCACTACTGGGTGCATCTTCACTTCTTCCATCTCGAGCCTGTACATACAAAAAAAAAATCCAATCTATTAAATAGGTATGGTTATTAAAAGAAACCATTTTATGCCTCCACGACACAGTTTAGATCATACAGGAGGCAGGGCTATTTCAATTCTACCTGCAGAGGCCAACTCAAACAGTGTGCAAGGTATCCTACTTAAATGACAAAAGTACCTGATAAAATGTCTTCTTAAGATGGAATCAAATTCATGTCTATGAAAGCAAGGCAAATAGCTTCTTGGGTGACCAAAGTTTTCTTTAAGAATCCCAGATTCTGATCTACATTGTTTGTTTTTCAGTTGTTGTTAATCCAACAGTCCTAGGGCTTGAGGGTGGACCTCTTTATCAGTTATCAATGGTAAAGAAAAAACATCTGAAGAAAATAAAAAACAGAAAGAAAAAGAAAAGGCTCTAAATTCCATTTTAAAGTTTTTTAGTTTAGTTTTAGTAAGGTTTTACTGTGCTCGCAACTGCATAAGGTCATACAAGCGCCAAGGGGTGGATGTTAACAGACAAGTCTTTACAGGGAATCAGGCTTACTCTGCTCACCACTCTAGCTTCAAAAGCACAGTCTTTTTTTTTATGAGTAAAGGTTTTACGGCGCTCTCAACTGTATAAGGTCATATGAGCGTCAGAAGATTAGAGGTGTTACAAGAGAGTAACAAACATAAAAAAGAAAAAGGGGAGATAAGAACGATAGATATTTCATAGGAAAGAAGGAGCAAACCACACCAGAGCACCCGCCAACCACCCACGCACAAAGTCTGCACAAAGTCAGCTTCGATTATCAAGGCACCCCGGAAATAGAGAGTGACAAGACTGACAAACATACAAAAGAAATAAAGGAAAAATGACGATAGCAAGGATTAAGAAAGAAAAAGCAGCAGTTCCCTGTTGCAGTTCAGGCACAGTTATGAGCATGACATCGATAAATCAGCCCATTTACAATTCTACTGTTGATAAGAACATGTTAATGTCCCACCTTTGGGAATGGCCTAAAGACACTTTAGTCAGTAGCACTGCCCTGGTGGATCCATCACTTTTTAAACACTGTTCAGACCTGCCACTCTATGAAACCTCGAAATCAGGATCTCAGGGAGAAAAAATCGGGATTAGGAGTAAAAAATCGGGATCAACAGCAAATCACTGAGGTGACTGCCAAAGCTGACTTAAAATTTTTCCAGGGGTGTCCATAAATTACTTGGCCTATATGCCCTCTGAGTGTCTTTGTTTGTTTGCATGCACGCGCGTGCGTGTGTGTGTGTGCGCGCGGGCGAGTTATCATTATTTTTTGTAAATCCTGAAGCATCACGTCAAGTACTCCTAGTCCAAGTGTCTATAACCCCCCCACCAATAAGTCCCGAAATACATGAACTTACGTTTACCCTGTCAACGGACGACGGACGGTCCCCGACACGCAGAACTCACACGGCGATGTCATGTCACGTGACGCGAATGCGCGACTGAAACAATTTATTTTATTAACGGGTCTGACTAACTTAAATACGCGTTCACACAAAACTCTCAGATGAGCGACAGTCGTTCTACTTCTAGTACTCTAGGAAAACAATGGCGGCCGACCAACCAATTGTACCAACAAATCTCTTCCCTCATAATGTGTTCAGACTAAAGCAACGACAATGGCTGTATGTTAGTCTTGTCAGCGCACTTACATGTAGTTGCATAAGGGTTAGAAACACTGTCGCTCGTCCGAGTGTTTGGCGTGAACGCGCAGTTACCAGACCTCGGACAAGGCTTGTATTGAAAGTAACAGCGGAACTACGAATATTATCGATTATTTGTATGTCCCAAATTGTAACAGTTACCAGGCTATCATCGGAGTGCGGGCAAAGATCACACACAACTTGGGGCGAGTCAATACTAAATGCGGCATCGATATTTCGGGAAATAGTGCTCAGAGTTCCTACTGACAAAAAGTTCAACGGGTGCTTCCCGCGATAAAGGAGAAGGCAGAGTAAGTTTTTAGAAAAATCCGGCACAACAGCAGACTGGGACAAAAAATCGGGATACACGCCATCGAAATCGGGAAAATCAGGATGCTTAAGATTTGGGGCAAAAAATCGGGATATCCCGACTAAATCGGGATGAGTGGCAGGTCTGCACTGTTCCACCATAATTTTTTTAATGCAAATTTTACCCAGTTAATGGCCAGGTTTTACAGCTTTATCAATAATGGCTAACTGCACGAGCATAACTGAAGGGTGGCTCTGTACAAGAGGCATTTGAGCTGAATAAAGCAAAATATTTGTACTTTTATACGCAAGACTAAATACTTCAAGTTGTGCGGATGGCGCTGCAAAAGATCCTTACACTTTAGCCGTGGCTTTCCTCTGCCGCTTGGGTGCAACTGAGCTTCCGGCTTCCGCACCGGTGACCTCCTCCTCTGGTGGTTCCACAGCTTGAGGAAGAGTCCCTGACTCTGCGGACACATCAGCACAACCCTCCGTCACAGCGCTAGACTCTGCTGCTTCTTCCTGCTCGCTAACATCTTGAGTCACAGCTTCAGATTCTTCAGCTGTCTGTTCATCGGCATCTTCCTCTGTTACTGGCACTTCAGACGTTTGGCTTCGATCTAATAAAATGTTTTCAACAAAAGAAATATAATTAAATATGTCAGCTTTTAGCTACTTTCAAATTTTACGCCTGACAGAACAACTATGAGCTCACTATTTTTATACATCATAATCACATTTTGCTCTCTAAACATTAATATAGGCCACAAGCATTTCACAGTGTATAGTATTTTATGTTTTCAATGTTGGCTCTCTCTGCTGCACAGCAATAAAGCAATTTGATACAAATCTTAATCATATAAAATGTTTTTCAAACATGTCTTATAAATTCTCAAATCAACAAAACCGTAAACCTTACTAGGAGTCACATGAGAAAAGGAAACCCAGCTTAAAAGTCACTAAACTGTACAGCCAAAGATCACAGTTCTATTACTTTACAAAAAGTCTGATGATATCATGCATGGCAATGCTGATATGGGAAAATACACATCTATAGTAAAGAAGACTAAAAATGTAGAGGAAAAAAAAGATGGAAAAAGAAAACAGGGAAGAATGTACTTTTTCATCTTCTGAAAAACTTAATTTCCAATGGGACAACCATTTTACTTGCCTGTTGTCTCAAGAGCACACGAGGCCCAAAAACAGCCTTTTTTCAACCAATAATCTTCAACTTACCAGCACTGTCAGATGTAGCCTCTTCCCCTGGTCCCAAGCTGTCATCATTTGTCTTGTCATTTTCTGCCTGATCTTGATCTGAGCCAGGAGAGTCATCATTAGCAAATGTTTCCGTCTCATTCAAATCACTGAGAGCAGATAAATTAGAAGGAGCAGACAGTTCAGCGTCTGGTACAAGCTCTACAGCAACAGTTGACTTGGACTCGGTGCTGTCCATTGTGAGTCTCCTTCCTAAAAGAAAGAAGAGATATATATATTATAAAATCAAAAGAAAGCATGCCACCCCCAAATTTTCCCATACAACTTAATGCTTTGCAATTACAAAATTGTTGAAGAGGTACCAGAAACTAAATTTTCAAAGTAGCTGTTTTTAATATGATCAAATATTGCTAAAGTCGCTGACTGACTGCAACCCCATGTTTGACAGAGATAATAAAAGAGTACCAAATGCATCAAACATCTCTATACATTTACAACCGAGTACAATCGAGGGATGACAAACGATTTTTGAAAAAAAACCTGAAAATGAGTGGAGCATCACATCTCACCTAAAAAACAAACCTTGTAAAGTTTTAAAATGAGCACACAAAAACATCTCTCTTATCTCTCCCCTTTCCTCTGTAAGGGTATGGGGACTTTGTTTAATCAATTCCAGTAATATTATACTGTCTTGAGAAGAAGGACCTTATGTCAGTGGCCTTCTTCTTCAGGGATGCCAAATAATTTTTGAAAAAAAAACAACAACTGAAAAAGCCTGAAAAAACTGAGATTTGGCATCCCTGACAATCACTATGACATAAGGAGCCTAATTTTGTTTCAAGACCGTGAGATACAGTCGAACCTGTGTAAGACGGAATCACAAGGGAGCGGGAAAAAAATTCCGTCTAAGACAGGGGAATTTAGGGGGGGGGTTCAAAAGGCTGAGCCGGTGGGATCAAGGATCGCTTGTCCGATCGGCAAGCAGTTATCAAAACTTCACACCTCTCAGCTGCTATCCTGTCTGATAGTGACATGCGTCAGTCTTATTTATCCAATTACCACCAGTGCTTGCCTTTCATAGGACCACTGTTTGACCTATTAAAAACAGAAACGTTGGAACACCTCCTTTGCTTCCACTCTTAGTCCCACCCACCAATGCCACCCCTCACTGCCATCATCGTAACAACGATTCGAGGAACTCTTTTCTCGGCTGGCCGTACAATCAGGGCGGCAGGCATTGGTCAATCTATTTCACACCTCTTGCTTCTGGCTACCCAGGAAAGTTTCCGTAGTGGCTGGCTACTCGAGCACTCTCACGGGCAGTCGTGAGATATCACACCCACACTACACTGACCATCTGTAGCGCTCAGTGCTCACATGATGGGGTAACAAAGGGTAACTACTACTCTACCCCCATTGCACCCCTACTCCCCTTTCTCGCCCAGCGGTATGGCCATGGCGTTAAGTTTAGAGCCGGCGGAATCAAACTTGCGAGTTTTGTTTAAAATCAGGGCTGAGCGGGCAAGGCATTTTCCGTCTTAGACAGGTGAAACCTTCGGAAGGGAGCGGATTTTTCTTTCCATTTCCACGTTAGACAGGTTTCCGTTTTATACAGGTAATTAAAGAGGAATATATCAAGGGGGGGGAGCGGGGAGATTCCGTAAAGACAGGTTTCCGTTTTACACAGGTTTCCATTTTAAAGGCAGGTTCGACTGTATTTTTGCAAATCAAATTTTATTGCCTCAAACACAATGATCTGTCGTTATTTCAACAAAAACACAGAGCTCTGTGACGGCCGGCACCGCACCAGCCCCCATGGTGGGTGAATCAGCTCTATACTGTGGTATACTGAGTGCTCTCCAAGTGGGAGAAGGGGTCACGCTTTCAGAGATTCGCGGAAGGATTGAGGCAAAATAATTCCAAGCCGATGACTTCACATTATTGTAATAGAAAATAAACTATATAATTTCTATTGGTACCTTTTTTGAGCCGGTGTTTTATATATTTCGTGTTAAAAATGATCTTAGAAAACTTTGACGATATTTTTAACGCTTGTAGTAGCATCTGCAAGTGCAACTTAAGTCGCCAGGCTGTAGAACGCTCCATACTGCTGGCGACAACGCAACCAGGCACACTTAACATAACTAAACAACGAATGGACGCACTGTACTGTTCATGAAGTAAATACCCAAAGGAAGCCACTCTAATGATACTTTACTGTCTATCGGTGTGGACCGAGGATACCGGAACTAAAGCAGGAACAGCAGCCGAATGTAAACAAAGGGTCGAGAGGGCTTATCGAGAAGGCCGGGGGCAAATTTGAACCGTGTGTACCTACAAGGCTAACAAGGTGTCGTAGACAATGACGTGCCGTGTTGTGTTGTGTGCGTGCTCCTAAGTATTCATTCAGAGTGTGTTTCATTAGCCTTGCTCCCGATTTGAATGTGATAGTTGACTATTATTGTGCTTTATGGCATAAATTCTGTTTTCAGGATATTATTAAGTGCTGGTGTTGATTCGAATCAAGGAGAAGTATGTGATCCATCAACAGACAATGCCACCTTAAACGATGAATAATGGCGTGCCATGCCATGTTGTGTTGTGTGTGCCAAAGTGTGTTTCTTTAGCCGTGTGTGTCCTATTTGAATGCGGTGATAGTTAATTATCGTGTTCTGGTACGTATTGTGTTAACTTCATAGATTCTGTTTCCCCTAGATCTAGGCCTAATACTAGAGACTCTGGGAAGTAGGAGTAGGAGAGGTTGGTGATCCTAGCTTAAAGTTTTTCTTCTCAACTTAACTCGCGAGTGGTGTTGACAGAATGAGAAAGTTACCCTTACTGTACTGTACAATTTCCCATTTAGTAGATTAGATATCCAATGTTTCTATTTTATTTTGGGTGGGGGCTACAGGCTACAGTTGTTGGCATTATAATTTTAAATCAAGAGGTGATTTGTACCCATTTTAAAGGATTGTAGGCTAGATCTAGATCTAGATTAGATCTAGATTCTAGAGATGTCAATAAAAGTAAAAGTAAAGTAAAAAGCAAGTGCAGCATTGAGATCTACTTTAGATCTGTGCCTGTGTGACTGCGACTTACTTGTACAAGTGTTTAAAACTAGATCTAGATCTAGATATAGTCAGTAAAACTACTGCAAGTTCACTCAAACTCAAGACAGAGGAAGAAAACCAAGTTCCCTTGCCTTAGAGTTGAGAGCCAAAATCATCCTAATTTATATCGATTCTATGGTATTTTTCTATTTGTGTTTTTTTTCTTCTTTGGTAGTTTAAACATTTATCAAGATGCCACGAAAGTATTCTGTTGGTGATTGTGACACTAATTTTGACAGTGAGCGAAAACAACGTTGTGATTGGATCAAAGCTATTCCCAACAAGGAGAAAACTGTAAATAATGTCACAAAATACATGACATGGGTGTATGTGGCCGACACTGGCCTGAAGGTGTAAGGATGAGAAAACGAAACCTTTCTGTTTTCGTTTGAATCTTATTAGGGTGCTTGGGCTACTTTAATTAGTAACTCATCAAAGTGATTGCCTTTAACTAATTTAAATCCGTCACTTCAACAAGCTCCATTTAAGTCTTTGGGTTTATGAGAGAAAAACAAACACACCCACACAAACACACTTAAAAAAACACCACAAAAACGAATATTGAGTAGTTTTGGTTCCACTTTTCCGGGGGAGAGAGAGAGAGAGAGAGAGAGAGAGAGAGAGAGAGAGAGAGAGAGAGAGAAAGAGAGAGAGAGAGAGAGTCATGCATGCACTGCGCTGCTTCTACCTGCGTCCGTCTCGCCTGGTCAGTAGTTGATCTAACCAGCCCTCTCGAATCGCGCGGGCCGTGGCCTGCTTTGCCTGATTTATTTTGGTAGCCTCGGTGTGGACGATCAAATTGACCAAAGCAAAGTTAACCCTTAAGATTCTGGTCCCTGATAAATGTTTGCCCGAAGCGCAATCCCGCGCGGCACTCCACAGCTGGTCCCTGATCAGTCGTCGTCCCATGCGGGCAACGCATTTCGTTTATTGCGGGGTCTGCATCTGTGTGCTAAAATGTGTGTGCGTCAGTCTGCTTAAGTGCCTGTGAGTCCATCTGGAACTTACTGCATTGTTTTGGAACGCGAGGCGTTGGTAGAGATAACAGAGCGTCGGGTGATACGTTCATCCAATGAAATATGAGCATTTTGACCCAGTTAGACACTTACTTGAGGGACTCGAAAGGACTATATTCAGGAAATAGGACTTTCATGATCTTTCAATGCAAACACCTTTCCTCACTTTTCAAACGATCTAATTCTTACACCAAACGTTTCCTGATGTAAATAATCATATTTGGTGGTTTTTGAACCATTGTCCTACCAGAGGGAGAAATTCGAGAGCAACTGAATAAAAAAAATTCTGAAATTATCCCATTTTTTTCCTCTTTCGAACGATAGCTGATAAGCAGCTGTTCGCAAGTTCATTCATAACAATTTAAGTGTGAAATCAGGAAAACTCTGGAAAAGTTATTCGATTTGGTGTAACTTCCAATCTCAGCGTCTCTGATCAACCGACGAGGAGATATGGGATTATTCGTGTGAACGTAACTTTTATTCCTTGATCGTATCAGTTTGCTATAATATAATAATAGCCACTGCGTAATATAAAAGATGAGGTGTTTCCCTAACCTGCCGCGGCACGCTCGCGTGACTGGTGTCTGACCACGGTGCCCGCGGCACAAGCTCGAGGGCGACGTAAGTGGGTCATCGATCGATAGGAGCCCTCTTCCGGTTAACCCCGCAGGAATATCTCTAGAGTTAAAAAATGATGTTAAAACACGTAAATTAATTTGGTTGTCTTCAAAGATACTGCTGCTATTTAACTTTTCGAATCGAGCCGAACTACGCGGGTCGCCATTTTGTTTTGCCCGGAAGTTCTTGCGCTACTCGTCTCTCTCTTTCTCTCCACAGACAAAATTGCACGCTTTTCTACTAACACAGTAGAAATGGAACGTTTGTTCACGACACAGAATTCTACAATTCTGTTATCACAGTGTAGAATTCTGTGGTTCAGGGTGAACGCTACACTGGTTGCCCTAAAGGCCTAGGCTATAACGGTGAACGCACACCGGGTGAGAATAGCCAAAAAACTTGCCTGCGCTATTCTCACCCAGGGTGAGAATAGAGCATTAGAGGTGGCCCCATTGCCACTGCCTTCAATTTCAAGCTCATCATGATAATAATGTCATAGATTAAGATCGTCTTGGTTGTTGCTTCTCCATACACACCACTTCTCTCAACCAACTCTGAATCAAATGATTCAGTCGACTGGCTATTGCCAATAGCAGTGCCACTTCTGTGCAAGCGAAGGTTCACTTTCCGGCGCTTTATAAAATTCTTACAGCTTGCTCAATCATGATCAAGTTGGACATCTATGATGAACAGATACAATATGATAGATTTAGCAAATAAATTTGTTCTCACTTTTGAGTCCTTAACAGGTCATAGAGGTGCTCAGTGTGTAAACTTCTGGAACAAAGACAGCTCTGACGTGAACGGAGAGAGCTCTTCTTGATAGAATCTAGCCTTGCCTAGATTACAAGTTCCTCAAAACAACGCCATGTTCAGCGGCTACTTGGCGCACTGTTGAAAGGGTTGATAAAGAAATGCGTCCAGTTAGTCCCGACATCGAGTAATGTCGGAAGAATAATCACTTCTTGAATTATGTTAATTTTAATAAAAGGTACTGAATGAACTTTCATCTAAAGATTTGAACAAACGTCGTTTCTTTCTTTGTTAGATTAATTTCAACAGAGGCTTGAGTAATGGTGGCTTTTTATGGTTCATTCGGGACCTAATTCGTTTGGTACACATTTTAAAAAGATTTTATAATTCGAGTAAAACAGTTTCCGGTTTATCGATAACTCCTCATTCCTCATAGAATTGCTTCTTGTGCTGGACAGACGCTCGAGTGATGAGAATCAATGCCGAATGAACTTAAAAATCAAATTTACTTTCGGTTGAGAAAAAAGTGAGTGCAGTCAAACTTTTGTGCTTACATTTTTTGCCAAAGCCCTGTTTCTTAATTTGTTTAGTTTCAGTTGTTTCGGTGAGAGTGAGGAATGTGTAAATGGTCCTATCCTATTCAATAACAATATTAATAAATTGGCCAGCCGTAGCAGAAGTAGATAGAAGCTACAAGAAGTGATCTTATTCTGAGTCTTAAAACCTTAAAGGCCTAATTCTTCGGTACAAGATCTAGACCTAGGTAAGATTGAACTTTGGTGGACCCACCATTGAGGGGGGCCGGAACTACTTTTGGGCGTCGTGTGATGCCATGCGCTGGTCCACTGTTCTTCCTTGGCCGCAGCGCGGCCTTGCGGCCGTAGGCCGCCACGGCGCGCTCTCTCTCCTCTCCCTCTCTTGCCTGCATCCTCTCACTTCGGGCTCATTTAGTCAACTGAAAGTTTCTACCGGATTTTTCCACCGCAAAGCCCGTGAGTTGGCGCGAGTGGCTAGACCCAAGCGTTGATTGGTCAATCTAGTCACGGCATGGCACCACCTCCACCATGTCTCCCCCTCTCTTCACTGGTCCGGTAAACTTCACCAGCGCATTTATCATGGTATCTAATGCCTAGCCTTGGCTGGCAATGTGGGTCCACTAAAGTTCTTGGGCAGAACCAACTATTTAAAATGTTCATGGTCCCCTTTTGTTTTCTGTTTATTATTGATTTGCATTATGTGTGTTTTCTCAATGATCATTGTGGCCAGGGGGGCAGGCCCCCCTGAAACCCCCCCCCACCTCCCATCCACCCTCCGCTGTCGAATACTATAAGTTTTCGTAACCAAACTGCTGAAGGTGCGGTCCACCAAACGTAAGCCATCCTCCAAGTGTTTTCTTAATTATCATTGTGACTAGGGGGGCAGGCCCCCCCGCCCCCATCGCTGTCGACGTAGTCAAAGTGCTGGAGGTGCGGTCCACCAAACGTAAGCCAGCCTCCAAGACATTACGCAACAATGGGCAATTACGCGCGCTAATTTGTATTGTTTGAACTGATAAGTCATCTGGGTATCTCTGCATTGTCCCGCTCATTTTAGTTAGTCTCTGTTGTTTGTTGATGAGGCATGATGTCGAACCATGGCTTCCTATCATGACTATTTTGGCTTATTCCGTTTAGCGGAGATTTTACATTCCGATGGACTGAAGGAGTGGTTGAGAAGCAGACAACTTTTATTTGATTTTTCGGACACAACGTGTAGTTGTGGTGCATATTTTTCATCTTTAAAGGACAGTTCGGTTTCTGTGGATAAGGAAATTTGGAGGTGCCAGAACAGACAGTGCAGGAAAAAATTATCCGGACTGGGAGCTTAAATTTCTCAAAATCACATTTAACTTTAGAGACAATAGTGAAAATTATTTATTTTTGGGCAGCCGACTATTCCAATAAACAGTGGGGTTAGTGAAAAGACTGTAGTAGACTGGTTCAACTTTTGTAGGGATGTATGTGTGGATATTTTAGACAGTGATAGGTACAGTCAGATTGGAGGGGAAGGTGTGGTAGTAGAGATAGATGAAAGTAAATTTGGGAAAAGAAAATATATCACAGGGGGAAACATGTAGATGGAGTGTGGGTTTTTGGGGGGATTGAAAGAGACAATAAGGAAAATTGTTTTTTTGTGGTGGTGGAGGACCGATCAGCAGCAACGTTGATTCCCTTAATTGAGAAATATATTAGGAGAGGGTCGGTTGTAATTTCTGACTGCTGGAAGGGATACTCCACTATCGCAACGTTGGGGTACCAACACCAAACTGTAAATCACAGTAAGAATTTCAAGGACCCCGAAACTGGTGCACACACCAACCACATCGAAACAACGTGGCACTGCATAAAAAAAAGCAAAAAGAGTTTTGCCAGGAGTTTAATAAGCGGCTACCTTGCCGAATTTAAAAAAAAAAGAAAATTCGGAAAGCAGCAGCCTTTCTTAGAATTTCTTAAAGCTGTTGGACTACTCTACTCAAAGGAAGAAGGCCATCTTGGCTCTAAGGAGCAAAAACAAGCCTACATGCAGGTCTAATCAAGAAAGTCGAGAACCTGCTGATAATCAGGAAAATCGGGAACCTGCTGGCGCTGGTCCATCCGCTCCTTCTGGTCTCGCTCCACTGCCTCCCCCTCAAAAGAAACAGCGGCTGGGATCAGTTAATGTTAATAGTGAGAACCCTGCACCTGTTCCTGCGGTAAACGTCCTCATCCGAGGATTTGATATCCCGGACTTTGATCTTTTCAACGATTCGGATGATTTTCAAGAGTGATGATAATGCAGGTCAGTTTACAATTTTGTCTCGTCCCCCTTCTCTCTCTCTCTCTCTCTCTCTCTCTCTCTCTTGGTATTCTGGCAGCCCTCACTCACTCCGCCTCGCGTCGGTTCCTCGAGGAAGTCTCTCAGCCCTCACTCACTCCGCCTCGCGTTGGTTCTTCGGGGGCAGTCTCGCAGCCCTCACTCCCTCCACCTCGCGTCGCCAGGAACTAGTTCGCGTAGCGGTCGATTAGGACCCATGACTGTACAGTCCGTTGTTTGCCTAGTGCGTATTAATAATATAAACACGGTGGGTCCACCAAAGTTCAATCCAGCCCTAGATCTACTTAACCTGGTAAGATTGAAGAATACTGGACCAGTGGATTAGGACTAGATCTAGATTTACTTTTGCCTGTCTCGACAACCTTAGGAATTCATGATTTTCCCCAGTTGTCTCTCTCAATGAAGAATCTCGGGTCGGTAGCCTTGATTCTAGTTCCGTTCGTTAAAGTCCACCACGTATTTGTTTACTTCCAGAGAAGAAATCTGGAAGTCTTGATGTCCAAATAGGCAACACAAAGAACAGGAATGCAACCTAACTGCAAAACATCAAATTATATAGCCCTGCACCCCTGAACCTACTCTTGACTCTTAGGGCCCAGACCGGCAAATAATAATTAGGGGTGGGAACTGCCGAAAAAGGGCCATTCTTTGTTTAAATTTTGATTTTCCCCTCAATGATTACCTGGCAATTCAGGGTCTCTGGCGTTCAGCTTTGGTCTTTAACTAACGAAACTACAAAATTGCCGCCTAGGTATCTAGATCTAGAAAATCTTGGTCTATAGGGCCTGGCCGCTTCCCAGGTAGCCCTGCTCACGCCCTTAGGACCTGCACGCTTCTAGGGTTAACTCTACACTACTACAGTAGCCCTACAGTGTGCAGTAAATTTAGACTCTACTCTGTGTGTGTATAAAAAGTAGGCTCTATGCGTATATTAAATTTAAGTCTGGCATTCTCCGGTTTTGGCCCCAAGAGTACTGGATATCGATACTGACTTAAATACTGGGTATTGATGTTTTATCCAAAAGAAAACGAGAGATGCACTGCTATTTTACAGTACAAAATCAAATGAGCAGTAAAATCTTTCACACGTTTTTAACAGGGGTTTTAGAGGGGCTTGCCCCCCGTGACCTTAAAAAACAAGGTTTTTTTTTTAGCCCCCCCCCCCCCCTCCCTATTTTATATAATTTAACCATAAAGCATAATTTATTGGTCTTTTGCTCAACACACATCAAACATCTACATGTATGTCAAAAAGTTCGTTTAGAACCAGATGTAATCGTTGGTGAAGCCGAAACCCACACTCCATAGTTATCGTTGGGTCCAAAACCAGATTATAGTAATCCCCTGAATTGTAAGCAGTGTACTTAATTTGATGCATGCCCAATTTATTCTCAAATTTGAGATTATGTCTATTTGTCTCTGTAGCCTGCATAATACAGTGTAATGGAGTAGTATTATTGGTTTTTAGGGGTGAGAATAGGCCTACTCCACATATTATTCTCACCTGGGTTTTTCGTTTCCGCCCTTTTTATTTCGTTTAGGTTTTGAGAGTCTATCACAGAAATTATAGGATGTTGTGATTCAACACAGATCATCTGTTTAGATCTAGACTCACAAAAAAAGTCCTTGAAAAAAAAATGTTTCACCCCAAGCAGTAGACCTATCCCAAACCTTTTTCAGTCTTCCAACACAATCTCTATCAGAGCCTCAAAGCCTTGTGCAAAGCTTACACTGGTTCAAAAGACATTCAACAGAAATCACGTAGGCATCTTCATCTGAAATTTCCTCTTCTTTGGTTTCAGCAAAATCATCCTCTCAAATATTTTGCCGTAATTTTGGTTGAAAATGAAGGAATAACAGCACTACTATGTGATAGTCGCCAAAGTTGTCGAAGCCCGCAAAACCAGGCCATTTTGCAATTCCAACTGATTAGGCCAGGTTTTGTGGGCTTCGACAACTTTGGTATTGAAATTGAACAACCGAATTCGTCTGCCTCTCAGTCAAATGGTTATGGGTATCGTGTAAGGTAATCATTACTCCAAATTTCCTTCATCTTTTTACATAAGACGGCCACCTGTACAAACGGCCACTTTCCATTCCCCCCCCCCCCCCCCCTTGCGTTTTTTCTATATAATTTAACTGTGTAAAACGGGCACCTGTCCAACGTGGCCGCGGCCACCATATTTTAATACACAACCCCTATCATACTAAGCAATAACACCTGTCTTAGACGGCCATCTTAATGACTCCATTACGTTTTGTCATAAATTGTGCATTGGCCCCTGGCGTTGTGGGCGAGCCGTCATAATTCAATCACCTGTCGTTGTTGTTAGGTAGTCCTTCCAACTGGTCATGTTGTGTAGGCCTCGATCCCACTGTTGACCGATAGCTACCAATTTTCAGCTGCTTGTGAGGTAAGCATGTGATCCCTCATCATGACCCATAAGCCCGGCCCAGAACTCATACACAAATCGTAAGTGAGATGAGTGGTCACTGTTTACCCAGTGTGTAACAAAGGACGTCAACATGAACTTGTCGCTCGTTCTCCGAGTGGTGGCGACCCATGAGTTTGTTTTAACATGGCACTCGGTTTTCCTCGTCTGATACGTTTCGTTTTATTGTTACCCTTGTGCAAAATCAGCATCAAAATAAAAATTACAAACAAAATACAAACCACCACCACCACCACCAACATCCACAACATCAACAACAACAATGGAGCTACTTTCGATTGGGACCACAGATGGGAATGGTTTGTTTTCTTCATCTTGATCAGTCCTGCCTAAGACGGCCACCTGCCTTATACGGCCACTTTTCTCCTTGACAATGGGTGGCCGTCTTACACAGGTTTTACTGTATTTAGGTTAGGTTTACTATCTGCTGTCAACATCCAGGTGAGAATAAAATCCATTGTATTCTCAGACCGGGTTAGAGTAAAATAGAGATACTATTCAATTTTACCACCCAGGGTGAGAATAACAACAGCCATTGGCTTTATACAAGTCTGTACTGTCTAACATTTTAATTTTGCCTCATGGAGAAACATTTAGATGTGGTCTTTAGGAAGTGATGAGCTCTCTACTGTGTTCTTCAGCCATTTTTGCCAAAAAAATTCACTTGGGTTAATATTAAGTAGAGGTCAAGTGCATGGTATTATACTAGATGTCCAGTGTGTTACATGAAAACTCACAAAGGCAAAATTTAAGTGAAAAATACACTCACATTTCCAGAGATATACTAACTTCTGCTGTGTGAAGAAATAGGCCTACATTTTGTTTAGATGTTTTGCCCTTTCTGAATCTAAAAGGATACAATGATAATGTTAATTGTTTATTGAACTTGTTTGTTTGTTTTTTATCTTTTTTCCCTCCCAGCTTTGAGGAAATTTTTGTGTCAATTCCCCCCGCCCCCCTCCCACTATGTTGGAGCTGGACACAGAATTTGCAGGTAAAAACATGCTTACGGTATAGATATTAATGAAAGAGGCCATGCATGGCTACTGTCCTGGTCTTGATAGTGATGCTTTGGGAACAAAGGAAGCTTTATGATCATTATTTTAAGAGTTAAAACTTTTTACCACTTCTCTTCTCGATCATAGTGACTGGGGTTGGGTTTTTTTCCTCTCTCTCAAAGTTAAATGTTGCTTCTAAAGTGTGATGACAGGAATGAAATTCTATTTTCGTTTCTTATTTTCAGTTAAGTGTGATTACTGTGATATAGTTATACTGCACAAATATATATTTATAATCTGATTCTACGTTTGTCTTTCATTATGCTTGGATCATACTCAGTGCAAATATGAAATGTGAATTTGGATTTGATTCCAATGAAATCCGTCCCCTCGACGTAACTTTTATTAGTTTAGTCTTACTGGCATTACGGCTCATGGTATTCAGTTCTGACCACCTGTACAGGTTATGTTATTCGAAGCTGGCCAGGTTTAAAAGAAAAGTATGATTTTTTTCTTCAGAGGAGGAAGTTGTGGAGAATCCCACTTTGAAGGCAGCATACAACTTGGCTCCACTGCATCAGAATCAACCTCTGCGCTGGGACCACAAGGTATTTTTTTCTTTTTGTGGGCTCATCTTCATCACACAAGGGAAAAACTGACACTACTATCTCGTAACTTTTCGTTTAAATTGTGGGATGAAATGTTGTTACTTGAAACTGCGAAGTTGATTTTTTTTAGTAGTAAATATGTTATAGATTTAAAAATCACTGAAAGTTGAATTGGGATGCCAGCCCACTTAAAGGTTCCAGTTTCATCTGTTTGTTGCTCTTCTCATTTAATTGTGTACCACAGCTTTGCTTTTTGCTAGTCAGTTATTTTTACCTTAATTTTAAGTTGGTAAGAAGGCCATTCAGCTTTTTTTAGATTAAAAATTTTAATTTGATAGCTGTAAGAATGGTCAGCTTAACTTTTAACAGTAATACAGTACATTAATTTGTGTTTTATTTTGCATTGTTGCTTTGTATTTTCAGGTTGATTTACTTGGAGAAAAGATTTATGACAAAGTCATTCACCTGTGTGAACTGTGTGAACTTCCCATTCTAGTCTATGGACGTATGGTCAGTACTTATTTTTTAAAATAACGTTCTTATTAATAGTGTTCCCAGTTTGCGAAAGCCAAAAAGCTGGTATTTTTACGGATAACAACTTTTTATATTATGATCATTAAGAGAAAAGGGAGCTAAGTAGAAAAGGAAGGCTCATATGGACGTTTTGCCTATTTATGTTATGACTTTTACTTCGAGTGGCAACGTGTATGGCTGCGTAACTGGTGTCAGACTTCACCAACTCGAAGAAGTTCAGTTCTTAATTCAAAGTAATATTTTTATTTTGTGGATGGAATGTGTACTCTCTAGATAAGGAGCCCAGAGTTTTACTTTTGAAATTGGAGTAAGAGGGCGTAAAACTAATCAAATCTTTTGAAATGATGTATTTTGTGATAATGGCCTGAGATTTGCTTTTCTTAATCTGTGTAGGAGTTTGCTTATGAACTGTTTATGTACTCTAGAGGGTGTTGTGTTTGGTTCATCTTTGCTATTTTAATATCATTTTTATCTGTGCACTTGATCTTTCTCCAATCTGTATCTACCGTTTTATTCCTATTTACTTAAGATGCTGGTTTCTGTGGTCTACTCCTTTTGCTTCTCTGAATTAAGAAAATTGTTTATTTATAATTTTGTTAAAGATGTCTTTGTGGGTGGTTGGCGGTTGCTCTGGTGTGATTTGCTTCTTCTTTCCTATCAACGTCTATCGTCTTTATTTCCCCTCCTTTTTTTGTGTTTGTTACTCCCTTGTAGCACCTGTAATCTTCTGGCGCTCATATGACCTTATGCAGTTGCAAGCATCGTAAAATCTCTACTAAAACTAAACTAAAAGATGTCTTTGGCCTGACTCCTTTCTGGTTGCTGAAATAGCCTTTGCTAATGTTACCTAGTAGAGCTGTATAACACCCCCCGGGGTGGTGCCACTGACTGAAGTGTCTTTAGGCCATTCCCAAAGGGGGGACATTTCTCGTTCTAATGCACAGTAGAATTGTAAATGGGCTGATCCAACGATGTCATGCTCATAACTGTGCCTGAACTACAACAGGAAACTGCTGCTTTTTCTTTCCTAATCCTTACTATCGTCATTATAACTCGACTTCTTTTGTTTGTTTGTCACACTCTGATGACCCGCTATTTCCGGTTTGCCTTGATAGTCGAAGCAGACTTTGTGCTGTTGAAGCTAGAGAGGTGAGCAGTCTAAGTCTGATTCCCTGTAAGGACTTCTCTGTTGAGATCCACCCCTTGGCGCTCATATGACCTTATGCAGTTGCGGGCGCCATAAAACCTCTACCCCCCCAAAAAATTGAAAAGAGCTGTATAAGTCGCACCTGCTGGTCACACAACCTGTTTAAAGCTCTTTTCTCGCTGGGTTTTTTCCCCAGCTGCCATGTAAGCACATCTTCTGCTTTGACTGTGCCCGGAAGTGTGAGAAGACATGCAAACGGTTGGTTCATCTTGTGTTTGCGTTGTGAATGATAGTAGTGATACTATGGAGTGAAATTTTGCTTATAATAATCACAAGTGTACTCAGGTAGCAAGAGGAAGATGAATAAAAGTTAATATGAAGATTTAGATAATGCAGGAAAGAGAAACCAACAAAGTAAGGAAGTGTGGGAAAGAGGGTGTTATGGCTTTTGTTATTTTATGCATGTTTGTTTTGTGTTGTATTATTGATTGACTTCTGTGTTACATACTCCATGCATTGCTTAAACTTGACCAGTTCCTATGTTTTTGGGGGGTCCCAAATATTTGGATAACGTTGTTTGAATACCTCAGCTATTTTCAAATTTGAAAAGGATATATGATACTTACATTTTGCTGTGCCTTCAATTTTGTGTCCTCATTTCAGTGTTTAAGTGTCAAACAAATTCATTTTCTGAAGTGCAAATGGGTGAGCATCTTTAACTTTCACTCTTGCTTAATTTTGGATTTTTATGAGGGTTTTTTTTTTTTCCTGTTCCAGATGTGGTGCTAGAGTACAGAAAGTAGAGAAGTCTGCTCTTGGAACTGTTTTTGTGTGCACCCACGGCGCTCCGAAACACAACACGAAAGGATGTCGGAGGACGTATCTCTCGCAGAGGGATCTGCAGTCACACATTGCCCATCGTCATATGCCGAAGCCGGAGAGCAAGTCCTCCTCCCAGCCAGCCACGATGACCTCGCAGGCCTCCCTCCAGCTGCCTCTCACCCAACAGCAGGCCGCGCAGCAGCAGGCGACCCAACAACCCGTTGGGAACCCTGCACTGTCTGTGAACTCATTAGGTCTGCCACCTCACCTGGCCCCACCACTGCAAGTGCCGGGAGGTCACTCGGCGGGTGGCGGGCTGAATCTCTCCTCCTCCTCCTCCCACAGCGGGCCGGTCGGACAACAGCTTAGCCCGGCCCCACCCCTTATCCCGGGTCTGGGAGATTTGCGACAGGTGGCTTCCTCTGTGGCAGGCTCCTCCTCCTCGGCAGGCCACGGGGGCTCTCCCCTGGTGCCGCCCGCCCCAAGCCCGGGCTCCATGGCTCCCTCCATGTTGCCGTTTGGCAGCCCCGGTGTTCAAGGTGGTTCGGAGCCCAGCATCTACCGCCCATTGGACATGGTGCCACTTTCACAGCAGCATCAGCATAAGCATCAGCTTCAACAACAACAGCTGGAGCTGCAGCAGCAGCAGATGCAACACCATCAGCAGCACCAGCAGGGCATGGGTCTGGCCTCCCCTCACATGCAGCCAGGCCATGGAGGAGCTATGCAGATGGGGCAGGGGGGCATCATGCACCAAGGACACGGCTCCATGCAGCAAGGGCTAGAGATGCAGCCTGGACGCAATATGCCTCAGGCGCATAACGTCCAACAAGGGCAGAACATGCAGCAAGCACATAACATGCCGGGGCATGGCATGCAACAAGGGCATAATATGCCTCAGGGCCATAACATGCAGCAAGGACACAATATGCCTCGGGGACACGGCATGCAACAGGGACTCAATATGCCGCAAGGGGGACATGGCATGCCGCAAGGACATAACGTTCCGCAGGGGGGACACGGCATGCAACAGCGGCACGGTGGCCTTCAGGGGCTGGACGGCTCAGGTGGACATAACCTTCCGCAGAGTCGTAGGGACATGCAAACTGGCCATGGACCCATGTCGCATGGACACAGTCCAATGTCCTCAGGCCAGAATGCTATGCATCAGGGCCACGGTAATATGCCGCTGTACAATCAGGGCAGGATATCGCCGGGAATGATGCAGCAAATGAACAACCAGCGGATCCCGTCGCCAACGTCTCAGCTGCTTCCGGGTTCCGGCGGCCACCAACAGCTTTCTCCCCTCTCAGGGGGCAGCAAAAATGTGGACAACTTCAACAGCTCTCAGGGCAATGCTGGGCCAGGCCTGCAGAACCCGCAAGCACGGACTAACGTCAACCTCATCACAGTCCCCATCCAGGACGAAGGTCAGTATCGGCCTCTGCCGTATGTAAATCCTTCTCAGGGCGGGAGCGCCTCTTTCACCCAGACTCGTCCCAAAATGCAGAATCCCTCCCAGCAGAACTTTGGCCAGTCCAACATCTCTTCTTCGGGAATGTTTCCCAATGCGAACAGCCCTCAGCAGATGGCGGGCAGGGACAATCATAACTTGGGTGGTGGTGGTGGGGGAGGAGGAGGGGGCGGAAACAATGCTCAGAACATGAACTTCAACAAAGGCGCCAGCAACGCCCAGGGAGCTCTCCTGATGACGCCTCACAGCAACATGGGAGCTAACATGCCCAACAATATGCCCAACAACATGCCCAACAATATGCCCAACAATATGCCCAACAACATGCCTAACAACATGCCCAACAATATGCCCAACAATATGCCCAACAACATGCCCAACAACATGCCGCGGGCCTTGGCTGGGATGGTGCAGGCCTTCAACTTTGCCGCCCGCTCCCAGGGGGCAGGACTCATCCCCACACCGGGAAACTCTGGGCAGGGAGGCTCCCCTCGGTTTAACCCCACAAACCGATGGCCCAGCCCAAGAGGTATCCAGCCCAGAATGACTCAAGGTCAGCAGCGACCTCGCGGAGGAGGTGGAGATGGGCAGTTTCAACCTAACTATTATAACTAAAGTAGAGGTTGGGCAGTTTATGCCAAATTCTATTATAATAACATTTAATCAATTGATAGAGACAACTTTTTTCTTTTTTTTTTTTTTTTGCTTTAGGCCAAAAATATTGTTTGTGATTGCGATGAAGAGATAAGCCGATACAGTATCATCAAGGATGACTATCTGGATGTGATAATCGTGAGTGTCATTTCGGTGCTCAGGAAGTTGGGACATAGCTGGGTCATTGTGCTGACTACTGTATAAGAACACGCTGTGTCTCTTTATGCTCCATGGTGCTGACAATGATTCCATTTGCCGGGTCTCTTGAGAAGATCGGCTTTTTGTCTACTGCGTTATTCCTTCATTTTTTACGTGTGTTCTGATTGCACTCAAATTGCTGTGCTATCAAATCTTGTCAACTAACGCTATGATTGCTGAATCTTTCAGTGTGATGGATTTTTTGCTAGTTTCTTTGTCATTTGTTATGAAAGTCTGAAAAGTAGTTCTGCCTAAATCAAGTTTGTCATCTATTATCTAACTAAGAGTTCTTTTTTATTTTTGTTTTCCTCTCCATTTCTGGATAGAGTTTAACATGGATAGGTCGAACACAGAAGACTCGAAATCATGCATCCGTCGACCTGTGCCTGTGGTCCCTTTTTTCTTCTTCTTTATTTTTGTAAGATATCCCCCCTAGCTATCAAGACCGGTCACGACATATTCAAGCTATCCATGTTATACTGTAGTTCAGTTTTACATAAGGAGAAGGAGGGGTTTTTCTTCCATGATGACTCAAATTAAATGAGAAGTGAAAGTTCTACCTCAGTATGATTTGCACATTTACAGTTAGAGGAGAATGATTCCAGCTGAGGTTATGGCGATTTTCAATAATGCTGTGCCCTGTGTTTATCCTGCTGATGGAAATAGCCTGATAATCCTTTGGCTGAACAAAGGTATACAACATATGGAACAGATGCGTAAGGTTTTTTAAATCATGGTTGTTCCAAACTGTTTGTTTCATGTGTATGTGTTTAAAGTTTTGTGGGGTTTTTTTGTTGTTTTTTTTCGGCAATGTGATATATCATTGCTGTTGCCAGAAAAAAAAACTGAGTAATTTCTTCACTGTTTTTTTCTCACTCTGTATAGCAGTGTAAAATGGAGTAGCTCATTTCTCTTGTGACAGCAGCGATACTGCCTTATCATTTTGGAAGCAGTTTGAAATCAGAAATTTTCCTCTGAGGTTTATGTGGCTCCCATGCTGCTGTGTTCTGAATAAATGGGACAGCCTCTATCATCTATGATAACTATTTTTGTACTCAGAGGTTGTTATTGTATTTAGTTGTTTATATTATGCTGTTGTTTTAAGTGAAATGGAATACTTGAGAGAAAGCAAGGAACTGTAGTTTTCGATGGAATCAAAATGTATGACTGACTTCTACTTCTAGGTTATGCTGCAAGAATTGTTTTCTTTTCTTTTCTTATGAAATATATTTCTGAAGTATTAAGTTCAGCATCGGGGAGTTTACAGCATTGTCTTGTTCTTAAAGACTTGATTAAGATTAAGATTGTCTTGGGGACTCAGTGTGAAACATTTGAGTTATGAGGGTTAGCAGTAATTTGTGTGGCATATGCCAATGTTGAAAATGGAGGGTGGGTGTCTTGAAATCTTAAGTGAAACTATGTGAGGACTAGCCTAGCACGCACATAAGGAACAGATTTTCAGGTCCCAAATTGTTTTCTTATACTTCCCGCATTTAAAAACTAGAAGCACGAATATATCAAAATTTGCACATAAGGAAAAGATTCCCTCGTCCGGCCAATTTCTATTTGTGCATGCTGGTCTGTCGTTTAATGTAGTTTAACACTGGATCAATCAGGATGCTGCTGTGGCGAGTTAAAAATACGGCGTATACTTTCACAACTGTGAGTCTATCCTTCTCTGGCTAATGAAGCATCAGATTCTCTTTGTCTGTGTATGTCCGAAGTAGGCTTCTTCTACTCAAATTTCTTGTACTACTCTGACTTCAGAACTCAGGACCCCTAGTTTAGGTGAATGCTGGTCTGCAATATGTACTGTGTTGTGAGGATGAGGACTGGTAGGTAGAAAGCCTTGGACTTTTGACTTGAATGGCATGTATGCAGAGTCATTGTCTCTCACGCTCCTCATGCCATGAATTAAAGATTTTTGATTGAATTGTGTTTCAGGATGTACATGTGTCAATAAAGAAGAATGAAGCATTATATTATGTCGTTGCTGATATATATTATTTTTTCTTAAGTCAGTTTTACATACTGCCATACTTTTATATATATATAACTGATTCTGTGATACTTTTTGAGTGGATGGGAGGCGGGTGCTCAGGTGTAGTTCACTCCTTCTTTCTTATCAAACATCTATCATCATCATCTCTCCTTTCTGGTGTTTGTTAATGTTACTCGCTTGTTACACTTCTAATCTTCAGCACTTATTGGACCTAATTGCATTGCAAGTGCTGTAAAACTCTTACTGAAAGAAAATACTTCTTTGGTTTCTTTAAACATCTTCAGCTTTCTCATGTGTGGTGAAAAATATTAGGGATAAGTTGGCTTCTACATATTCATTCAGGATCTGTCTTTGAAAGTGCAATCCTTATGATGATACTGATTTGTAATACAGTGGAGTCCACTTATGATGAGTCCTGAAATAATGAAAAGTCTGTTATAAAGACACTATTCTAAAACCCCGTTTTTTTTGCTTGTCTTTGTAAATAAAATACTGTTATAGAGCAATCAGACAAACACATAAATCGGTTATATAGCGGAATATTGATCCTGTGTGCACATATGTAAAACCTCGCCAGTTGAGAAACTTGGTGATCTTGCGAAATAAAGAATGGGAGTGCCCACGTGTGCCAACAATGAAGGCCGGAGCGAATGAGAGTGGGAAGGTAACGGCATGCGCAGACAAGCAGAACGCATCGTGTGATAAGCGAGCCTAGTTTAGATTATCATGGCCTACAATGCCTCTCATTTCTCCGATGCGGTTGAGGTCATGCTGAACAAAATCATCTTGGGAGATAACAAAAAGAATTAAACAGAACACCCAACTCATAAATTAGGCCTACTTTATTATTGCCCTTTAATTTATCACTGGATCCCAATTATAACAGAATCTTCTTGTATCTTTTCTATTCTAATTTTTTTTTTTTCTAGTTTCAGTAAGAGTTTACGATACTTGCAATGCATCACAATTGAATAAGATTACACACACCAGTTTGGAATGTGAAGAAAGGCTCCACAAAGCATGAATGATACCCCCCGCGGCGGTGCCACTGACTGAAGTGTCTTCAGGCCATTCCCAAAGGGGGGACGTTTCTCGTTCTAGTGCACAGTAGAATTGTAAATGGACTGATCCAACAATGTCATGCTCATAACTGTGCCTGAACTACAACAGGGAACTGCTGCTCTTTCTTTATTAATCCTTACTATCGTCACTACACCTCTGCTTCTTTTGTATGTTGGTCACACTCTTGTGACCCGCTATTTTCGGGGTGCCTTGATAGTCGAAGCAGACTTTGTGCTGTTGAAGCTAGAGAGGTGAGCAGAGGTAAGTCTGATTCCCTGTAAGGACTTCTCTGTTAACATCCATCCCTTGGCGCTCATATGACCTATGCAGTCGCGAGAGCCGTAAAACCTCTACTAAAACAAAAAAGCATGAATGAGAGACGGACAAAAAATCAAAGAAGACACTGAGGTCATTGAGGTGAGGAGGAGGTAAAATTGACAAAGAGAAAAGGCAACGGAGAAAAAAGTGTGCTTGAGTGCATAAAAGTGTGTAAGTGACAGATAGAGCGAGAGAGAGAGAGAGTTGCGAACACCAAAGAATTTTGTTATAAAAAATTCATTAACAAAAATAATCAAAAACTTTGTTGAAAATAGTCACTTTTTTAATGATCAGAGGCATGCACCACACACTCTGAAACAAGAACATCAGAATACAGTGGACTCGGCTTGAACTTGAAGAGGTGAATTCTGACAAAATGACTTTAAATACTAAGACGCCTTTTTTAATTATATCACCCACCAATATTCTAAAAAGGTAGAGAAATTGAGTGAATTATTTTCATGGCTTAAATGACGTCTTTCCAGTGTTCCTATTATCTCAAGCAAAGTCCATTGTAGTAAGCCATAAGTCAACAACAGAATCAGCTGAAATAGCAAACGAACATCAACAAACACAGCATATCGCTATCTATAACTATCAGTATGCTCATTCGCAAACACCCCTAAATCGATTCCTATGAATCATAAATGCCCTAGTTTTTTTTAAGATTTTTTAATGATCATTCAAAATTTCTATTCCCATTATAAATATACAGGAAATGGGAAACAAACATCTCTAAAAACACCACATATTATCAATTTGCACATTCTCAAAACACGCTCAATCAACTAATATGAATCAAAAATGTCCTCTTTACTAGATGAGGTATTTTAATTTTCATTCAAAATTATAAATATAATCTGTTTATACTGCAAACACACCTGAAATTAGGAATGGGAAAGTGACTACAATGACAAATTACTACGAACTGTTTAAACACCCTCCACTAACCGCCCAGAGTCAAATTTGACTTTGATTTGAAAGTGGACAATCTGATACCACAGGGCCAGAATCTCTGCAATTTCGTAGCTGTCGTCTCCCTCCCCCACACCCTTCCTCCCCCCACAAAGTGATTGACTCCCTTGACCTTGCTTCACAGAGTGAGCAAAAGAATTATGTGTTGTTGTACCAATATTTTTTGTGGCAGCAACTTGGTACAATATGAGACAAAAGAGACCATGTCTTCTGGAAATGAAAGTTGTTTTGGGAGTGCGGAATTGGGTTGAGAGACCTAAACTAAACCGACGTCTGTACAAGTCTGATAGCCCACAACTGCCTTCTTATGGCACTGAAAATGTGTTTTAAAAACAGTCCTTCTCTTTATTGTAGGACACATCTTATCACAGTGTGGGACAGCTCATTAAATTTATATATATCCATCAAGCATCTGTTCATCAACGGAACAGGTAACAGCTAACAAGATAGGACTACATTTGTTGCTAGTTTTTGGGAGAAGATTATAGCTCTATCTGTGTCACGGTGCGGTGGAATCAGGTGCTCGTCACTTTTAGGGCACATGGAGTCATTGGTATCATCTTAAAGTCTGTCCATTTGCCTTGCTTTAGATGGAAAAAATATCCATTTATCTTTTGTATAAGTTCAGATATTGGCGACTGAAGGAGGTGGGGGCTCACCTTGTTTCAGAGGTAAAATTAATGAGAAAATGGCCGCCAAAGTTGCGTAATTTCCTTAGCTTGAGAGTCTATGGAGACTGAAAATTTACTTCTTTTAAGCCTTTAATCAACGTTTTTCAGTAAAATCCACTCATAAATTTGTTCTATGAAAGGCGTAGAGCCAAAAAACAAAAATTCAAAAAAATTTCTTTAACTGTGGGAAAATGCCAGTTTCTTCACTTTCTTTATTTTACGAGCGCCTGATTTCACCATGCTGCCTCAAATTTTTTTTGCGTGAGCGACAATGAAGTTGAAGAGAAACCGGCATTTGCATACGAGAAGATTATAACCAAATACAAACCAAAATCCATCCTATACTTTTTTAAAATGACTAAAAATTACTTATTACCATTATGGCAATAAGTTTACTTTGAATACAAGAGAGTAGGCCTACATGTTTTACAGAATCTCCACAAGTTTCCCCCAAATCAGTAGTGTTACAGAAAGAGAGATTAATATATAGGAAAATAGTAAAGTAATTAAAGTTATCAGCACTCTGAAGTCATCATAAGGAATGGGAGTCTACAGTGGATACAACCCTCAACCAAAAAGCCCTTGACCCCATCGCAGCTTTTGTTCTCAATAATTTTTATTGGCACTCCTTAGATCAGATATGATATATATATCAATTAGATTAAGGAGTTTTAAAAAATATACGCACCATACGACACATAAACCACATTGGTTTAGCCTTGAGCATATACTCTTACCTATTAAAGCAGTCTGAAAAGTATATTCATCACTCTTTAGATAAAATCAACATAAAGCCATGATAACTTGATACATCTAACACGTGCCTTACATATATTAAAACCCAACACAGGGGGGCGTGCTGCAGTCATAATTGATGATGCTCATTAAAGATGATAATTAACAATACATGTGAACGGTCTTCCTGGGGAGATTCAATAATTGCCCAATAATTCGTCGCAACAATAAACAAAGCAAGAAAACACTTATTCCCCAAATATAAATCAGCGTCACCTCTGATTATATTTGAAGACATTTTAAAACGATATTCATGATACGACATCAAACTTGGAAGACTGGCAATATTCCTAACCAAAAGATTAATATATACACACTATCGTTGACAAACTGTACTGAGATAGAAAAAAAAAAAGCAAGGAAAGCCAATATATATAACGAAAAGAAACGTACGAATCAATGTTAACAATAATGCTGACCAAAAAACGGCAATACAATAACAAATAGTTGAGATCAACCTTTAAGCTATTTCTCCAAAAAATTGCAAACTAGAAAAACATTTTGGTGTATTGTTGCTGTCAAAAGAGAAACGAAAAACTCTCCTGCTTTACAGTAGGGTTAGTAATTAAGAAAAAAAATTTTTTTAATGCGTTTCTCACTTTCCTTGCAACAACAATAATATTCATTTACTCTGTGAAAGAAGTACAGTTCTAACGCATGCAAAAAAAAAATCTGGTCACTGTTGGTGTTTTTACGCCCCTATCGATACAATTCAGATCATTTAGGAGGCGGGCTTCCAACCTTGCCTACCAGGGTCAACACGGACTGAGAGAGATACAAAATCCCAACAGAAAGACCAAGATACTCAGTTTAGTATGGGGTTTTACGGCGCTCGCAACTGCATAAGATACCCAATAAAAATGTTCTGCCTACTCACGAATCAAACTCAGGTCTCCCGCGGGTGACAGCTAAGCACCTAACCACTACACAAGTGAACAAATGTCAGAGCGCACATTTGCCATAAATAAGCAGAAGGTGAACTTCTACCTTTAAACTGAGATTTTACTGTATTATCTAACCCTTTCAAAATTGATACTTTAACTTTTACTCCCTAAGGAGCTATCCAGCCTGATTCTGGTGCATGCCCCAAATTCTTATAACAGGAATAAAAATTCTTTAAAATGCCACACACTGTTTCAGCACATTCACCACAAAAAATAATTTTTTTGCAAATTGATCAGGCAAAAACATCAGTTTATAAGAAAAGAACACTGGTTTTAACAAGCCTGTTTCCACTGCAATACAGGATGGTAAGTCATTCATTGCTTCTTCTTCTTTAGTTGTGACTACATACCAGTTTGCACTCATTACCCAAATTAATTCATCACATTAAAAAATAATGTAACATACAGTAACTCACTAACTGTGCAAGGGAATTAATACAGTATTACTGTAGATCGTGAAATGAATTTTGAATTGGATCATTCAAGAGCCAAGTTCTAGTCTTATTTTCTAGATTTGTTGGGATTTGCCCAACTTCACTGTGCCCCACAATTCTAAAGAAATTGACAGAATTTCTGCCAGTAGATCACTTACGTTTTAATACTAATAAAGCCAAGAAGAAGATCCCTAGTCTATTCCAAAAACATAATGCTTACCCCTGTCGATCTAGCAGCTCATAACAGACAACTCAAAACACTTTAGCAAATTTACCACAAGGTCTAGATGTATTGGTGCCTCTAGTGAGCTGCTGATCGTGGCACCTCGAGCTGGTAAATGGTTAAGACTCTCCTTGCCTTGACACTGTTGCAACACTTCAGAGAAATATCAGTTCCGAAACTCCTTTTTTCTCAAAGAGGGAACTCTGAAAATGTTTGTGTCCCGAACAGTCTTTAATGACATATGTACAGAGTATGACGGAATTCTTTCTTTTACACCCCACTCCTCTTTCTTTTAATACTAGCATCAGTGACAGAAATGCTGCCCATCAATAACAAAATTAGACTTAAACAGCAGAAAGTCAAAATTATAGGAAATAAAACACATTAAGATGTACATGAAACCACCCCTAATAATAGGAAATATGTGTTTGTGTCGCCAAAAGGCAAACTGGAGACTGCTATTCTTTACTACAACAGAATAGTGAGTGACATACTCATGCACACTGATGATAAAAACACCCAACATATTGAAAAACAACAGACAGGTAGAAGTGAATGTAAGTAACATGAAGTTGAAGGGCACAAACAGCAAACATGAAGACACAACCAAACAATAGGAAAAATTCTTTACAAGTTTAATACAGCAAGTCAAAAGTACAGCAGACTTTCATAGAAACTACTACAGATCCATTTCCTGCTCTTGGCTCAGAATAGAGCTCCGGGAACCTGAGGTGACTGAGTGTAGAAAGTCAGAAATATAATTCAATTCAACTTTTGTCTGCAAGTGATTTTCACCATTCTACATTCATAAACCCTCTTAATGAATAATCCATCATTTCCAGATCAGTATTAAGTCATAAATTTCCATTGATAATTTAAACTTTCACGAAACAACTAATTTTTTGACCCAGAAATAAGCGATTTTCAAAAACACATATTTACAGGTTGACCAACAGATACATACTTTATTTTATCATCTGCAAAATCATAATGATTTTAAAATGATGGGACAATCAAAGAAATACTACAAAATGTATTTATACTACAAATCTGACATAAAGACTACTAAACAAAGAGAAGGGAACATCTGCACACATCTTTCCAATTACACTATGCATGATGTGATAATAAGTAAAGAATAAAGTGCTGTGCCTGAAAAGTAAGAGATCCAAGTCAAAGACAACTGCCCTTTCAACAACAATAACAGCATCAGGTTCCAAGTAATCCTGCCCGTCTTTCCCATCTACTATCCAAATTTCCACAAAGCAAGCTTGATACATCGTCTCCTTCATCATCACAGCTCAGAATTGGATATTCTTGAAGTCATACATACATACATTTATATATAGATATAACAAATGTAGATATATACAAACAGCTTGCGCGTCTTCTTCCCGGCTGAACTAAACAATACAGAATCTAAAAACAGAATTTCCATCAGGCTCATCATGAGCTCTACAAGCTTATTGACTGCAAACTAGTGCCGACCAGATCGGAATATGAAAAAATATATCCTATTCCTATGAACTGTTGGTTTTCAACATAGCTATGTACATACATTCTTCTACACCCCCTCCCCCCAACCCATCCATCCCCACTCCCATCTCTTCCAAACTTAATGCAGACAGACAATGCCCAAGCACCGTTATGACTTCTTTGTGTTGGTTTTTTTTCCAATCACCTGCCCAATTCTGGGGCCTTAGACATGAACCTGGAAACCCACAATTGAAAAAAGCCGTTCCAAAATCCAACAGCAATGTTATGAAGCATTTGCAGGACTCCAAGAAAGATATACTTTTTTTTTTCAACAGAGGTGACCATCATAAACATCTCTTGACTATATAGTATATGATATGGCGTGCAAAATACTGTTCTGGGTTCAGCACTTAAGGGAAATGTGGATTATTATACCCATGCACTGGCTGCAAAATTCATCGCCATGAACCTCAAAATCCATTGTCTGAACATATTGTTGGTGTCACAATAAAAATGTGCAACTCCATTCAATCGTGCTTTCTGGGGGGGTCAGCAAAAAAATGAACGAGAAGGAGTTACTCCTTTCTCTAGTCACACCACACGCAGGCAGTATTGCATACAGACGTATCTCAAAAGATGCCAGAAATGATTTACGTCTGTACGCAATACTGCCCGCGAACATCCATTAAATCAACATTAATACACAGGGGTGTGCAACCAAACACCCCCCCCCCCCCCTCCAATTTAGACTAATTCAAACAACAAATCATCCAGCAAGGCATCGTCTTCATCATCATCGTCGTCATCATTGCCATCGTCGCTGCTCCCAATGGGGCTCAGCTCGGCCACGTCCAACCCATCCTGGTTGTTGTCTCCGTCGCTCTCGTCTGAGGAAAAACCCAGACCAACAGGGCCGAGATGGGAGAACGAACAATCACAGAGAGGGGGGGGAGACAGCTGGAAAAAAATCTTCTTGGAAACTGAAAAACAGCTCCAACCTGTCATATCGAGTTTGCCTTCGGAATTGTTTTACCAACATTGTACAAATGGAAGAGTGCCTTTGTGATCCCCCCAAAAATACTCCCTTATGCAAAATTTAAAATCCTAACAGAGACTTATTTCCTTTCTGTTCATTTACGTATGGGTTTACTTCCCTATGAGACACATAAAAGTCATTTCTAACAGAAAAAAGGAGATAAAAGGAAGGGAAAAAAGACAATTGGCTATAACATAAATGTAAATCTGAGACATACACATCTCCGATTGTTCAGCTGGTCTCAAAGGGTACTTTTGCTGATGGTTCTGGCTTGAATTCTTTGTTTACAGCTTGTTCCCATCCGAGATCCTGCCTTTTAAATGATCCTAAAGTGTTGTATCAGGGTGCTTATCTAAACAATACTATCTACAGATCTTGATGTCCGCTATTTTACCTTTAGAGGGATAGTACTAACTGCCATGAGTAGTGAAACCTCCCCCCTCAACTTCAGATTGGGGGGGGGGGAGGCGCTGTGGTATTCAATAGATGGACACCACAAATCTAACATGTAGGAGGGGGAATGGGCTTTAGGTAGACAGGCACTACAAAGTGGAGAGCCTAAAAAATTCCCTACACAACCGAAATTCAAGAACTGAACTACCCCCTCATGATTCGAACTACTTGAACCATCTTATTCCCAACAAGAAACCAACTGAGCAAACGGCGCACCTGATAACACTGTGACGGAAAAAATAGACACAGAAGGAGCTGACCACACCAGAATACAAAATTCTCATTCTTTTTGTTTGTTTTGATAAGAGTTTAAAGACATTCAGAAATGCATATGAGCGCCCAATAATATCATCAATCTACTCAAACTTGAAATTATCTACAAACCAGAAAAACCCTATTATCAAAGGATACCAAAGCTTAAGTAACAATTACATTCTATACATACAGGGAGACATAAAAAGATACAAGCTTGAATGGAATATCCCACGTCTAGGAATCCAGGAATTCATAGAAATATGATACCCATCAGCTAGAGCTCGAACCGTAACAAGCAATCTGACAAATCTTTTATCAACCCCCAAACCCAAAACGATGAGCTGCTTTCGTACTAAATTACTCACTGTCAGAAGCTTCCACAAAATCTAAAATGGGATCATCAATATCAAGATCATCGTCATCTTCATCGTCTTCGTCATCTTCATCATCATCATCATCGTAATCGTCCGGTTCATCATTCTGTGGGTTGTCATCATCATCTTCAATCTGTTGAGCAGAAAAGACAAAGCCATTGAGCATTAACAGGAGTAGGAGATTTACAAACAAGTTGGCACAGACTGATTGGATCTGTCCTACATTTCTTTCAGCTGTGTCATGGCCAATATGAGCAAAGGACATGACAGACTGACAAAGTATTAGTAAGAGTGTTACAGCATTTGCAACACTGTAAGGTCATATAAGAGAGTATAAAAAGGAAAGTTGTTCCCGCATCCGATCTGGACATTGGGGATTGCCTTGTTAGTGAGAAAACTTCCTGGGCCTTCGGCATATTGTGGTAGGGTGGCCAGTTCCTTTCCACGCCGCCTTTACTTCTCCAACTCAAAGTTAGGTACCCATTACTGCTGGGTGGGCAGGAGGGGGCGGAAAAAACCCCGTGTCCTAAACGAGGCTCGAACCCGGACTTTCCGCTTCGGAGACAAGCGCACTAGCCACTCCGCCACCGCACCCTCCATATAAGAGAGTCATCATCATCATCATCATCATCCAGTGCCAGATCTGCGACAGACATCGGCGATCATGATTTTCCATTCATTCCTTTGCTTGGATGCTCTCAGAAAAGCTATGTTTCCCTAATCTTTCCCTGTTACCCATTTATTTAGATTCCCTAAGTATGTTGTTCTGGGCCTACCTCTGCCTCGCTTGCCCTCAATTTTGCCAGTGAGAGCTAGATGTTCAAGACCCTTATGTCTATTCAGGTGTCCCAAAAACTGCATTTGTCGTTTCCTGATTGTTTTTAACATTGAGCGTCCCACGTGGGCTTCATCAAGCACTACCTCATTTGATTTCTTTTCCTTCCACGATACTCTTAGCAGTCTCCTAAGAAACCACATTTGTGTTGCCTCTATTTTATTTTCACTGTCTTTAGTGATTGTCCAACATTCACAGCCATATAGAAGGGTTGACCAAACATAGCATTTCAGGACTTTCATTTTGGTGTTCATTGATATGTTTCTATTTTTCAGGATTGGGCTCATTTTATTGAAACCAGCCTTAGCTATTGCAGTTCTCCTTTTTATTTCTGTGGAAGATTTGGCATCAGATGTTATCATTTATCCTAGATATTTAAACTGTTGGACTTGTTTGATCTTTTCACCTTTGCTAATGAGATTACAACTAGGATTTGCTGCTTTTTTGGATATTACCATGCATTCTGTTTTCTTTACATTCAACAATAATCCTTTAAGTTCACTTTTTTTTACAACCGTATCTAGAAGCAATTGAAGGACCTTTTCGGAGCCTGCTATTAAAACCGTGTCATCTGCATACCTGATGTTATTAATATTTTCTCCATTTACTTTGAGGCCTGGACATTCTTCTATGTTTCTAAGGATTGTTTCACTGTACATGTTAAAAAAGTCTGGTAACAAACATAAAAAAGGAGAAAAGATAAGGACGATTGATGTTTGAAAGAAAAGAAGGAGCAGAGCACCCGCCAACCACCCACAGACAGACAGACAAACACGGTAGAAGTAAAAGCATAGAAGGAGTACCCAGTAGTGGTGCCCTCCAACCACCTGCAAGGCTGATCTAATTAGCCAAATTTAATGCATTTTCATACAAAACAAAGTTGGCCTTTTGGCTTCTATGACCCGGTAGTGCTCATGATCACTGTTACCGAAAGAAGCATGAGTAACCCCAAAAATGTATTGCCCATCCTAAAAAGCAGGATCAAACAATTTTCTTGTGAAAGCAACTAGATCTATACACAGTAACTTTCAGACAGGTCTACTTCATTATCGTATCTGAAACATTGTTTGATTTTTGTACGTCAAACTAATTGTACCTATAACTTCATTTTAGTTTATTGTATTTATATATTTGTAAAGTGTCACTAACAGAGACATGTGTGATAGTGACCGTCATATACAGAACCACTTACCTGATCTTCTGGTTCACGTGTCTTTCCCAGCTCGTAGATACGACAAAATGCCTCCTCAGAATCAGTGTCACCATTCGAAGCATTCTGGCAAGGTTATAAAAGAAAAACATTCAAAACTACAGAACAGCAGCACTGACGGGACTGCAGTATTAAGTACTTCTAGAACAGCTTCACTGTGAAAATAGTCGTAGTAGTTCTCCAAGAGCAAAATAAAATAAAAAGGGGTACTATTTTCCTTTTATTTTTATCCCTCATGTAGCAAGTACTCAACGCTAAGACTTGTCAGTCACTATAAAATAGACAGAGTCACATGTGATATTAATCAATAGATTCTTTTACTGCCTTAGTGTGGAGATGTCAATGATTTGATAGGATGGTTTACCTCCACAATGCCCAGGAGCAGATCGTTCCGGTCCACCGCCACATCAAAGATACTGTTTGTCTTCAAGTCAAAGGTGCCTGAAGGGGAAAACAACAGCAGAGGAGAATTTATTTAAATGCATAAGTCGTCAATTCAACTCAAAAGGGATTCTGTCTTTAGGGAGGTGGGAAGGGAAGGAGAGGGAGGGAAAGAGGGAGACAGAGGAAGAGAGAGAGAGGGAGAGAGAGGACGAAAGAGAAAGGAAGAGAGAGAGAAGAAGAGAGAGGAAGAAAGAAAGCAAGAGACAGACAGACAGACAGACAGACAGACAGACAGACAGACAGACAGACAGACAGACGAACGCTTTGTTCCTTGAAACACAAAAAAAAAATAATTTCAAAATGCCATCAGCCACTTCAGAAAGGAACATCCTTACATCAAGATCAAGACAAGAGTTTTGGTAAAGGGAAAATCTTTATGGAAAAAAATGTGCTACTCGGGGGGGAGGGAGCATGCGTTCAGGAGGTTTACTGAAGGGAGAGACCCTTACGTTTCACTGCTGTATCCATGCAAATATTTATTTGAGGTAAAGTGACCACAAACACTTGATAAAAATGTATTGCAGTACTGTAACTCATCATCACCAATATTATTGGGCAGTTAACACTTCAGCTTTCAACACTCTACCTATGCTGGTGTAGTCGGTAGCGTCAAAAGTCCTCAGTGTAGATGCATAGTCCCTCCGCACCACTGTCTCACTGGGTTCATCATCAACACGCACAGCTGTAAAGAGGGGGAAGACAAAAATGTGATTTCCATATTGTCGTGGACCTCCACATATACCTTTTTGAGCTCATGTCCTTTTGCTGTCGCAAGCACCATACATAAAACCCTTACCAAACACTTTATTTTTTATACACTATTATAAGTTTCTTTTAGTCTCAGTAAGTGTTTTACGGCACTTGCAACACAATAAGGTCATATAAGTATCTAAAAGTAAATCCTCATTTGAAACCAGTCGAGACTAATCAATACAATATATACAAAACAGAGCAGTTAACTGAGAAAAACCTCAAAGCAATATGAATATTTTTCAGCTCAGTTCAACCTCTACACTAGACGACTTTGGTTAATCGACAGTGACCTACATCTTAAGTACATAGTAAAGCATATAAAATATATAAATGATGAAGAGTAAATCCACTTTTCATTTAATTTTGTTGGTAGTGTGCAACTTTTATCTGTGTGATGTTTGATGTAATATCAATGAAGTACTTTGTAATGCTCTATGTGTTCATTCAATAGAACATTTATTTTTCCATTACATTTGTGTGAAATTTGAATTTTCCTTATGAAATGTTTAATAAACTGGGGATTTTTATACAATTCTTACAAATAAAAAAAAAGAATTTCATCTTCTTAACACAAAAAGCTCGGGTACTGACCATAAATGATGTCTCCATTATTGTTGAACATGATCTGGCACTGGTCTAGGGCGGGCACCGTGTGCAGGAGGCGGAATGTACGCATGTCCCACTGGTGTTTGGTTAAGAAAATACAACACTTCTAGCCACTGACCGACTGAGAACATTTTACATCCCAATCGACCCAATTTAGACCACTCAGGATCAGGAGGCAGGCTGCTTCCGTCCTGAAAGAAGCTGCCCAGACTTCAGATACCTGTCAGGGCCAAGGCACAGCAAAGAGGGATAGAGCACCGCAACAAAAGGACGGAGATACTCAATAAAAAAAGTCATTGTCAGAATGTGAACTATCGTACTAAAAAAACTAAAAGATCTAAAGATCTATGGCATTTCAAATTTGTGAAACTCCTGAAAAAAATCTGCAAGAAAAAATTACATTCTTCAATATATGGTGAAAGGATACGATCTCAGAGTTAATGACTACTTCCAGCCCGCCTGGATGAAAACATCCGCTGGTGTACTGGTTGAATTTGTCAAATTTGTAGACCATTTTGTTGGTGCGCACGTCCCACAGATTGCCATCGTTAAGCACAAGGTCATCTGTAGGACTGAAGGTCGCTTCATTGAATTTGTAGTTGTTGGCTTTGCCCTCGTCATACAGAGTCTGTACTACCGAGCCCGTCGAGGTATCGTAAATCTGTCACAGGACAGGAAAACAAAATGCGTCAGGTTCAAACAAAAACGACATGGGTCAGATTCAAAGGAAGAGAGAACAAAACGTGTATGATTCACTTCACAAAACATCACCCACCAATCACTGCAATAGTGGTGCCTGAATGATAAACTCTTTTGAGTAAAGAGGAAGTGCATAGCAATAATAATAGTACTTTAGAGCTGGGAAAAAGCAAGACAGACAGACAAGTACAACAAAGGAATAGTAAATAAGTGGGATTTACCACTGGCAACCACATAACAATAAATTTTATTGAGAAACTATACTAAACAATTGAACAAATTTGATGAACACAAGCTAACAATACCAAAAGCAAAATTTGAACAGTGACGAGTTTTAGAACTCTTAAAGTTGACTGAAAACTGTTTTGAAGAAACTTTGTGGAGTACTGAAAGTTAGCCTTCCTAGTAACACAACAAACCTCACTTTTTGTTTCATGCCCTCATTTTTCACAGCTGTAAAAGCTGAATAGTCATTGAGTCATCTAAATAACATGACACCCCCCACTCCCCCCCAAATATTAACCACATATTTTTTTCTTTTTCAAAAAAAGTCCTTAAAATAAACCATAAAGACCAACAATTTTCGGCATCACTCACTTTTGCAACCATCTCTTTAGTACCGATGAACCTCTCTGAGCTGCGGTTGGCCAACACTGCCGTGTATTCGTCTAGGCGATATCTGCAGAACACAACAGGGAAAACATCGATCCTCACTGACAGGTAAATAGAAAATCAGCACACGTGTGAGACAGGACCCTATTAATATCTACTCTGCCTTTTTCAATGCCGCTTTGGTATATCTGCAACAGCCACACAAGAACTGAAGCAGCTAATGTCGTTAGCTGGTGAAAACACACATTTAATTTCTTCCACCGTAGGATCAGTAACATTAACAGATTAAATGATCAAAGGAGCTGCCCATGATCGAGGAGAAAAGCAGTCTTTTTAAACATGTGGTTCTCTTTTACATTGTCAAAATGAAGTAAAATAAATGGGGGGGGGGGGTGGGGGGGGGGGGGGGCGGCGTGCACGCCTGGGATGTAGGCTGAAGTATACTTTAACCCATCAACTGAACAAATAAAGGACTCACTTCAGATTCATATCAGGCCCATCCCTGTTGTAAGACCAGAGGGCACAGTTCTGGGACGCTCCCCAGGTGCTGGTAAACAACAAGTTTGGGTTCTGCAAAAAAAAAGTTTAGAAGGCAAATTTTTAAAAACTTTTAAGTATCTATTCCTTGGAAAATAGTGCAGAGAGCAAATCAAAAAGTCATATCTTAAAATAAACATGCAGAAGGATAACGTTCCTTTCCCTTGAATAACATAAAAAACCCAAGTGCTTATTAATCTTCTAAAACAAAATCCCAAAACTTAGAGCACACAATACTGTTTCGACAAGATGAAAAAATGAATTAATGATTAATGTTATAATATTGAATATCTATGAAATTCATGGGATGAGAAAATGGGCAAACAACAGCAGAGTCCGCTGACAGTTTTCGGCTACACCAAAACCACTGATGAGAAAAGGAAGTAATTCAAAACAATGGTGTCAGGTGGAAACTAGCCATATCCAAGCCACTTTTTCAGGAGGGAACCCCCCCCCAAAAAAACTGCTCAAACAAAGTAAAAAAATATGTCATGTCTCCGGGTTTTCATATGTGTGTGAGGGAAATGAGGTGTCTAATAATGCTGGATAAAGGTATCTCTTATTCAAATAAGAGAACTATGGGAGCAGAAGAAACAAAAATGGTATGAAACAAATGGCGAAATCTCAGACTTTCCCAACTCCATCCAGCTTCAGAAACAAGGAGCATACATAAAAAGGTCTTGAAGTACAAAGTGCTCTAAAGACAAAGAAAAACTTACCACTTTGGAGGTACTGATGTGGATGATAGGGGAAGAGTGACACACCGTGCTGTAATACTCATTCTGAGAAAACAAAACAAGAATGAAAATAAAACACTTGTTCTTTTTTTTTAAACGAATTCTTACAACTAAATTATGTTTGCCACTAGCAATAAATCCTTAGTTTCTCTTTTTGAGCAGACCGTAACAAATACTCATTATGACTCCAATATCTACTCTCTACCTCACTGTTCTCGAAAACACTGGCACAACCACTATACGAGAGTCCTTTATTTTAATATTTTTAATTTTTTGTTTTTAATTCGATGTTTTGTCATTTAATTAAAGTATACAATTATAAATAAGCAAAGAAGTTATTTCTGTTTGAGAATAATTTCTGTTGTGTCCAAGGAACTCTGTGAACACAAAATGGAATACAAACCACTCTCAAACGCGACATCTTCATTTAAACAGACAATCGCACCCTATTGAACAAGTAAAAATTTCTCACCTCACTGGCATACAGCCTCATAACACGAAGGTCACCAGCAAAAGATCCGATGAAAATGCTGTCACTGTCAAACTGGAGGGAACAGGAAAAACATTTCAAATTATGCAAATCTTCTCTAGGTTATTTTCCCCCATTTACTTACCGTTTGGGTAAGAGCAGCACTTCAACACAAAAATTTATTTAGTGGCCGCAAAAAGCAAGACAGATAGACAGAAACAAAAAAAAAGACACTGAAAAATAGACGGAACGAAAAGAAGTAGAACTTCTGATCTGCACCCTCCAACTACCCACACTTATTTACCGTCAAAACACCACTAAATACGCATGAGACAACAACCGCCAACCATTTCCCAAGTACCAAAATTCCTGCCAGACCAGCAACATTCATCCCGAGGCTTAATAAAATATAAACATCTTAAGACTAAAAAACACAGAAGGACTTATAAGAAGCAAATGTTGAGCCTAAATTACACCAGATGAAAATATTGAACGGGGTGATTATTTAGAAAAGAGGGCATTGTGGATAGGTAAAAACATCATAATTCTAAAGAGAGAGGGAAAGGGGCCAACACTAGCACTTAATATGTCCACTGAACATTTAAACAGAAAATTTGCTACAGACAATTCCTATTCGAACCCAGTGCACAGATTTCTTCCCCTTCAAGTCTCAGGACAACTGATACAGATATTAGCTATCGCGATTCATCACTCGCTTCCCTACTCAGATACTCTTTCTCTGCCTCTTTTGCCACTTTTTTTCCAGCAAGAGAAAGACATTAAGTATCCTAGGAATTGCATTTGACTCTTCCTATTTGTTTTAATATGACACAAATTAAATTCATTTTAAAAAATTAATCCGACTCACATCAAAGGAGCAGCATGCTAAGCCATCGCCACTTCCGTCTCTGAACGTCTGAATGGGGTGTAGTCTGTAAATGAAAAAATGTTCATCACACATCTGTAACGCAGGTGCTAATTCATTTCTTAATGTAAAAAAGTTTCATGGAGAGACAGAGACAAAGGGGAAAGAGAAGGCAAAAGGGACAGAGCGGTGTTCATGTTTAAGAGAGCAAGGGAGACAGACAGAGTAAGATCAAAGAAGACAGAAGTCAGTAGAGCAAGAGCATTTCTATGTTACGGTTAATATCCCATACTGGTGCCAATAGGATTGATGCTACACAAATAATAAAATTCATGAATATTATTTTTAAGTCATCTCTCAACTTACTTGGAGTGCACATGCCGTCGGTCCAAGCGGTGTCCATTTACTCCACCGTATGGAGCTCTGATCTGAGGGTCAAGAGGGAGAAGAGTCAACGAGCCTTTCTTTCATATGTAACCACACACTACATTGACCAGAACATGAAATACTTCTGGCTTGGCATTCAAAGACAATGAATTTTTTAAAATATCTTCTGTCAGCATCTGTCAGTTTCTACTGAAAAACCTGTACACTTCCCGACACTATCACAAAATTAAAACATAGGAAAAATAAAATCAGGTGTGTAAGACACAAGGGCTACTGCCGTGTTTCTCAAATATAATCATTGCCGAAAGTCCCCCCGATGCAAACAATCCCACAAAGTGATTGATGTCTATGGGATGAATTTAAATGCCTTCTATATTTTTTTTTAAAAAGAAGAAAAACACTTTAGTAATGTACCTGTCTCTCAAACATTCTAGTACAGACTGAGTACGGTGCACTTGTCTTGCCCAAAGGTTCGGGACATCTGTGTGGGCTGCGGAGAGAAAGTTTTAGTTTTAAAATTTAGAAAGAGTTTTGCGGCACTTGTGACACAAAGAGGTTATATAAGTGCTGAAGATTAGAGGTATGACTTGAGAGTAACATACTAAGAAAAAAAGAAGAGATATAAGGATAATAGATATTTGATTGTTTTTTTTAAAGGAGCACACAGAGAGAAAGAGATAAGAGAGAGGGAGTCATGAAATAAATTAGCTTCCTATTTACAGAACAAAGCCACTGAAAGTAAAATGACATAGTAGAAGAGAAATAAAAAACATAACAGATAACAAAAGTACATAAAAGGTAAGTAAAAGAAAAAAGATATCAATCAAACAAACAAATCATATGCCATTTTCATTTATGCCTACAAAAAGTGCAAATCAAAGAAAGAAGAACATGAAAATAGCTTTACAGCAAAATTCTAGACATCATTTTCAAAATCTGATGTGTTTAACTTCATTTTAGGCTCTCGGACTCGCAACCGTAACGTCGTGGGTTCGAATCCCGTCAGGGACCCGACGTTGTGTCCTTGGGAAAGGCACTTTACACAAATTTTCCTCACTTCACCCAGGTGGGAATGGGTACCCGGCTATAGACAGCGAAAGATCTTGTCAGTTTGTTAGTGTTTGAGCGCTTAATCGGCTGCTTGCACTGTATGCTTCCCGGGAAGCTGAGAATGTTTCGGAGTGTTCTATGGTCTGCTGGGGTAATAATATAGTGTAAAGCACATAGAGCCTGCTGTTGAGTGGGGATATGCGCTATAAAAATGCTATCTATTATTATTATTATTATTATTATTATTTTAGCAAATCACGTTTTGGTGAACAATCACGTAATTCTCAATTATAAATTAGCTCTGCTGAGTGTCAGCTTAGTTTGAGAGTTTAAAAAAGCATACCGACACATTACGAACCATTTAATGTAAGTAAAACAGTAAGAGTTAAGACAGCAACAAAAGATAGAAAGAAAAGAAAAAGTACCCATCACAGGTGCCCTCCTCCAACAACCCACTTGAGCATGACATGGGATAAAGAAAAACCTCGACAAAACAAATTATCTTATGTACACTTTTGCAAACAATGACATGGAGAGAAAAAAAGCAAGATAGACAGACAAAGGCAATAGAGAACAAGAAAAGAAGTGGGATCATCAGTAGGTGCTCTATAACCACCCTGCTTGCAGAAAAGGATATAACATTTTTGAAAAGAGAGAGTCAAACAATTGGGAAAAGTAATGCATATGATGCTCTATGTGTGCAACATCCGCAGTCACAGAAGGGGTCACAATGGGCTTGTAGCTATGCCTCACAGAAACAGGAAACGATGTGCTGCAATCCTTGTGCTGCACAAAGATATGGTGGGGGGCTATATAATACTTTACTTTTACTACAGAAATAATCGTGTGAATACTAACATACCCCACTAGGGCAGTGCTACTGAATGAAGTTGTCTTTAGGCCATTCCCAAAAGGGGGATATTAACATGTTTTTATGCACAGCAGAATTGTAATTAGGTTGTGTCAAGCTCATACTGTGCCGGAACAAAATAGGAGGAACTGCTGCTTTTTCTTTCCTCATCCTTACTATCATCATTTTTTCCTTTCCTTTTCTTGTATGCTTGTCACTGTCTTGTGTACTGCCATTTCCGGGGTGCCTTGATAGTCGAAGCAGACTTTGTGCTGTTGAGGCTAGAGAGGTGAGCAGAGTAAGCCTGATTCCCCGTTTGGACTTCTCTGTTGACATCCACCCCTTGGTGCTCGTACATATGACCCTATGCAGTTGCGCGCACTGTAAAACCTTACTACAACTAAACAAAGTACTTACACAAACAGCGACATGGTGGGACACGTGGAGATGGGCTGTGGACAGAGGGCGTGCTGCTTCCGCAAATACTCGGTCACAATCTTGTCCAGCGAGATGTCGTACTCACTGGTTTTGGTCCGTGACAGACCGCCGGCGGGCACGTAGCCTTCCCGGTCCTTTAGGAACCGCCTCTTTGTGGACTGTAACAAGAGTGAGCCAAGGTCACAAAAATTACATTAATTCTGATTCTTGCTGCCATCATAAAGTAACAGTGACTTATATAAAAGTAAACCGTTTTTAAAAAATTGAGCAAGGAGAGAGGGAAAAAAGTATATGTATATATGTGGTGATCTGGGAAAACCAAAAGAGAGCTACATGCATGGGCAAAAAAAAAAAATAAACAATGAATTTCCAAACATGGATCTAAAAAAAAGAGAGAAAAGGGTGCAAATCTATTTCCAACATCATTTCAATTTTTTAAAATATTCCCCAAAATAATGTCTTTGAATGTGATAATTTGGATTATTTTTATTTATTAGTTTTTGTGTCTTAACCCCTTCACTGCTGACCTATATTCCCTGCCCTATGCTGACCTTGTTTCCAGGAATAGCACTCAAACGGGTGATCCTTTTAAAGTGCTATTTACTCTGTGGTAATGCATCAAATGCATAACAATGTCTATATCATTTTAAAGGGAAATGAATGAACCGCTATCATCGTTAGCAAAAATTTCGTCGATAGCTTAATACGTTGAGAGCGTACATCACGAGTGATCAGCCATAGCTCGGAGCTAGAGTGAGACACTAGAATTGTGAAGAGGGAGTGACGCTCTAATTCACGCTACTTCGGTCATTGTTGGTCTAACTGGGGCAAACTAAAGCTTCTCTAACTCAGAAAGAAAAGAGCTTTCAGGGGAGCCCACTCTTGATACTAAATTGCAATTACCGGCTGAGTAGGAAACGAAACAAAACAGTGATATTGCCAGGCGTACACTGCACATCTACAGCGTATAGGACGGCCCGATTTATGGATGCACACCGCAAGCCGAGCAGCAGTGAAGCGGTTAAGTAGACTTTGAAATTTATTTTGCTGTCATCATTTTCAGGTTTATGTTCTGTGGAGTTGTCTTAAAATATTCACCAAAAACAAACTTTTAAAGATATTTTTTGAAAATTGAAAGTCTGATAACCTGCACACTCAAAAAGATTCAGAAAATGCTACACATATGATCTTTGTAGTTAAAAACGCAGCAATGAGGGATTTTGGATTTCAACCTCTACAATGTAGTTTATTCATTTGCCTAGAAACAATAAATGATGATCAAGTATGCATCATTTTCATACAGCTACCCAAAAATTTCATTAATGAAATTTATACATTTATCTGAGGACTAGACAAAGGGGGAAAAGACCCTGCAAATAAAAAATGGAAAAGGTAACTTTTTATTTGTCGGTGTGCACTGACAAATAGCAACGTGTATTGCCAAATAAGCAAACTGGACAAAAGTACAATCTTCGGTCAGCAGCCTGAGATTTTTGCCCACTTTTTCCAACAAATCACTGGTCATTCTAATACTTGATAAACAGATTTCGCATTTTGCTACGGAAGAGAGGTGACTACAACATAACTGAGAATAAAGAAGCCTCCTCACCTTGGGCGGGAGAGCAGCTGGCTGATGTGTGTTGTTGGGGGTTTTGTTCAGGGTGAACTTGATGTGACCGGGCGTGCCCACACTGCTGCTACTGGGGCAGGCCGGAGTCTTGACCTGAGATGGACCAGGTATGGGCGCAAAACCTGAGGGCACAACAAGCAGGGAAGCCACAAATTACTTATATTTTAAGCCTCAGACATGCACAGAAGTGACAAAATACTTATATTTTAAGTTTCAAATATGCAGGGAAGTGACAAATTACTTATATTATTATTTAAAGCCTCAGACATGCAGGGAAGTGACAAAGTGACAAATTACTTTTATGAAAGGGAATCATAAATGCAGTCAAAATTGTCCACAAAGGCCCATCCATTGTCAAGGAGAAAAGTGGGTGTCTCAGACAAGTGAACAGCTTGAACAGTTTCATTATAAGGTTTAAAAAATTTTTTTTTTTTTAAACCCGACAAGGGAGAAGAGGGAAGTGGTCATTTGTACAGATAACTGTCTTGGGAAGGTGGCCATTAGATCAGCTTTGACTGTTGTTATATTTAAAATTTCAGACATGCAAGGAAATCACAAACTAGTAGTATCTAAAGCCTCAAACATACAGGGAAGAAAAATACTGAAAATATGACATCATAGCTAAAGCGATTTGGGTTTTCTTCATTGTCAAATAATTGTTTTTAAATGGTACAAGTGAAATGTTTTTTTAAGTTGGAAAGAAGATTTTTTTTAAAAACCTTTTTCATTCAAAGAATAAGAAAAACTCACAAAAACAAAAAAAAACAACCCCTAAACATGATGGGAATCGGAGAGGAACATTTTTGCTCTCAATAGTTTTAAAATTAGTCTCTGTATCCAATAAGACAATGGAGACAAACATGAGTTCTCTGATTAACTCAAATTCAGTGGAAGACCTGACCTCAGATTCCCTCAAAGTGAAATCAAGCGTCTTACAAATAATCTTGTCAGTGTGTTTTAGTTTTAGTGTTTTAATGCCTATAAAATGGCAGCTTGCACTGTGTGCTTCCCAGAAAGTTGAGATTGTTTCAGAATGCTATCAGGTCTGGTGGGGTAATAATATTGATGGAAAGTACATAGACCTGGCTGTTGAGCAAGAATTCGCACTACAGAATGCTAATCATTTATTATTATTATCAATAACTGTACAGAGAATAATTATTTTCAACAGTATGTGTTGTTCAAACTATAAATTTCTCCTTTGCTCAAACTCACCTCTGTCTGAAGAAGATGATGGCGTTGATGAAGTCGTTGGCGTGACTGCTGCTGCTGCTGTTGCTGCTGTGATGGTTGAGTTTGAGCAGGGACTCTGGCTGCTGGAACCAGGAGTGGAAGGGAAGATCTCTCTGCTGCTCTGACTAGGCATGGCCCCATTAGTTGCTGCTGGCTGGCTCAACTGACGACCCTAAGGTAAGGAGAGTTTTTAAAAACTCGAACAATCCTCCTTTGAAAGAAACTGACTGCATGCTTTTACTAATTTCAGTAAAATCGAAAATGTTTGAAAAATGAGGTGCACATCCACACAATATCACCCATTTGGAGTATGGAAAAAGAAAGATGGACATGACCGAAATAAAAGAGGGAACTACAAGTTGCACCTCTGAACAACTTGCAGAAGGATTTTCAGCATCTTGTGGGATATGTACAGAGAACACGGAGGACATCAATTTATTCTTCTTCTATTCTGTTTTATTCATTCTTGTGAACACACACAGTAGGGAGAATTTTTTTATTCTTTTTGGTAAGTGTTTTACGGTGCTCGCAACTGCATAAGGTCATATGAATACATTATACATTGTCAGTAGGTAGGGAATTTTTAAGTTTGTCAGGGTGGCGGCCGAAGCCTACTCCTATTGATTTTGGACCACTGAAGAATCTTTAACGTGTGCAACTTGCAAGCGGGACCCCCCAGATTTCTCACCCTATCTGAGAAGGCTAGGTGTAGTCTTACCCACCATAAGGTCAGGGGTGAGGCTGAAAGACAGCAGTAAGGAGCCAAGGAGTAGCAATAGAAAGGCTGCAGAAAGAGCCAGGAGCCCAGAGCAGAGGGCAAAGGAGGTGAGGGGGTAGGAGCAGAAAGTGGAGATGAAAGAACATTGTTAGAGGACAGGAAAGGATGTGAAAAGAGAACATTTTAGAGAACAAAATTTTCCCGTCATTATCTGGATTCGAACCCAAGGCCTATTGAATGAGAGGCAAACACCGTAACCCCTAGACCACGAGAGCCCCCTACAAACTTTTTTAAAAATGAACAAACCTGCAAAGAGACAAAAACAATACTCACCATTTTAGGGGTGGTTGGGGAGTATATGTGTGAGGAGGCACTTGGAGGGTGGGGTGGGGGTGTGGCACACTTTGGGAGGCTGGCTTCTTTCTGCAGAGCTGTCGCTGCCTCATACAACCCTGTTAAAGTATGATGTGGAAAAAGTGTGGTTCTAATGTCCTCCAATGTTTATTTCACCATGTAACTTCCATTAAATCACACACTGGTTAAAAGAATTAAATAAAGGAAGAAAATATGTTATCATTATTCAGCAAAGTGTAAAAAAGGTGTCTTCAGTGCGAATGCTTGATTAGCTAAAGCGTGAAACCTGATTACATATTTACATAGTATACTTTTCCTAAATGATGAGAAAGTAAGAAAATATAATATAAATATTGGGCAAAATGAGTTTTTTTTTAAATAGAAGACTGAAGATGTGTAGCAGTGACTACTGCCATGGTCATCATGACAAAAGAACTTCACTAGATCAGCTTGAAATAAAAATCACAAATCATCAAAATAACGGCCGCACAGTTCTGGAACAAAACAGAGAAGACGAACAAAAGTCAGTAGATTACATTATTATAATAACTCCTTTAGCGTAAGTCAAAAAGCAAGGCAAACAGACTGAAATAACAAAGGGAAAGAAAAACAAAAAATACACAGAAAGTTTTTGTTTCATTCTTAATGTGAAAAAGTACCTTTGGAAATTAGATGTTCATGAATGAGCTGCAAAAGTTCTTTGTCCTGGAACACAATTTTTGTCTGGGCAACAACACTGGCCTGGGGGGGGGGAGAAAAACAATATGACAACGGGCAAAATCTGTCTGAAATTTCAAAAATTTCCTGTTCTTTAAAAACAATCTTTCTGTGAAAAAAAGTCGTCTGAGTTATGATGAAGAAACAGTTTGACAGGGGAAAGAAATCATGCAAAAGATGAAGAGGAGAGGGAGGGAGGGAGGGAGGGAGGGAGAGAGGGAGAGAGAGATGGAGGGAGAGAGGGAGAGAGAGAGAGGGAGAGAGAGAGAGGGAGAGAGAGAGGGGGGGAGAGAGAGAGAGAGAGAGAGAGAGAGAGAGAGAGAGAGAGAGAGAGAGAGATATCCTTGCTTTAAATTGATTAAAAACACATAGTAGTACAAAACATAGAAGCCACCCATACAAGAGCCCAACTTAAGACTGAATCACAGCAAAAAAATACCAACAAAATGGATCATTAAGCTCAATAGCCTATGACTTACATTCAAACTCCAGTCAACACCTGCCATCCTTTAACCCCTTCACTGCCCCGACCCGCTGATTCAGCGGGCCAAGAAGTGCTCCCCTGTGCCATATGATGAAGTCATTTTTAGTATAAATTTCCACTGTTAAAAGGGACAAACTGTGTCACAACGAATCCTCATTAATATTACAGTAGTCTCCCATGAATCTGAGCGTCATTTTCATTGTTTTGAAGAAGTGAAGTGTTGACGTTCTGAGTTGTGTTTACGTTTTTGGGGGTTTTTTTTGCTTTTCGCAATGGCATCCAAAAGACCAGTCTATCAACCTTCCTTTTTAGCTGCAGAAGTTCAAGATGAAATTATGAATGACTGTAACAGTGATGATAATGATTTCAATTGAGTTTCGGAGTTGGGGTTCTATGTGATGCTTGTAGTAAATTGGAGCAATTTTCCCCGGCACAGCTATGTAGCTAATAGCCGGCAGTGAAGGGGTAATTACATACACACAATTTCATCTTAACTCTTATCCTGCGTCTGTGCCCAGATGCGTATCTTATCAGCAACCGATTACGTCGGACTCGCCGGGCAGGCCGCCGGGGTCACTCAGTGTGTACTGTTGGTGTACAGCGCGCCTGCCAGGAAACGTGTGTTTTCGCCATGAATACTGCGGGAGTGTGTTAACTGATGATGAAAATAACGCTCTATCCTTCATAGCATTCTATTTATAAAGTGTTACAAACACATGAATAACCCCCTCTCACAAGCTGATAAGACATTACGAGTAGTTACGCCCATTTGAATAAATTTTCTGGACGCTCTTGTTGTTATGAATGATCTGAGGTTCGAAAAGGGATAATTTAGGTCAATTTCCGAATGTTTTACACTCAAATTGTTCTTTGTACCTGCACAAGGGTATTCGAAACTATTAAACAAGCTCATCTTTTATCAGGTAGTATCATTTCATACAAAATCAAGCTCATTTGAAATATTTTGTATAGAAAAATGGAAGTCTTGTTTCCTGACTATCCTTTCGAGCTCCTCATGTCTAAGTGGGTCAATTTCTTCTATAATTTCATTGGACGAACATCTAGAGCTATCAACTTGGCATGTTTTGAATGAGACGTATGCCTCGATTACGAACCAACGCAGGTGGTTCTAGAAGAAGGCCACAAACGCACACAAACTCAAGCAGACTGACGCACACACACTTGACCTGCGTGAATGGGGATCCAACTCGGGACCCGAATGACACGTAAGAGGATGCGCGCTGCGCGTGCGCTGAGCCAGGGGCTACACTGATTCGGGACCAGAACGCAGGCGAGGTGCCGAAATAGGCTTATCGGGCTACATAAACCCGGCTCCCGCAGGATGAGGGTTAATGTAATGACCACTCTGTACTAATTTTAATTCCCAATATTTGCCTATCCATCCCTTATGTAAACTGATTTGGTGAGAAGTGAAGAACATTCGAAGCTGTGACCCATCATTGTCAAGGAGAAAACTGTGTTTGACAGGTGAATGTCTTGGACAGCGTCATCATAATACATATAAAAAAACCACAACAGGAGTGGTCATTAGTATAGGTGATTGTCTTGGACAGGAGGCCATTAGTGCAGGTTTGACTGTATAAGAAAAAAGAACCCATTGAATACTCACTTTTCTAATTTCCTCCAATGTGGCAGCACCCAGGATGTTGGCCTGTCTGCCCGCAATCTTCTCCAGCAGGGTTGAAGCATACTTGCAAAACTGAATGTGAATCTGACGGTAGTCTGACAGCACCGGCTCTTTCATCAAACCTGAACAGCAACAGCAGCAGTCGCGAGAAAGACGTAAAAAAGACAATGAAGCATTCTTGACAAAAGTAATATGACATAAAACATATTCAGAGAACCTTATATCTCACAAAGTTTCTTGATAAGAGAATCTTACATCTCAAAGTATTATAACAATCAAGTAAGCTGTTTTTATCTGTGATGTAACACAACAGCAGCATGGTTTGAACAATGTATAGGGTATTTTTAATAAAACAGGGTCAAGGTTTCAAATTGTAAATTACATTATTAAACAGAACCAGTAATTCATAAGTGCTACCACTACTCAAATAATAACCTGTCTTTAAAAAAAAAAAAGAAAAGAAATTTGTCCAGCACATTTGTAATATACATGTTTTTGCAATAAATTAAACTTTGCAAGGTAGATATACACATCTGTGATGAAAAATCAAGAGAGTATAAAATAAACGACACAATATATCAGTCATGTCATAGTTTTGTATAACGTATTCATCTTCTCACTGAATCAAGCATGAAAATCTCAGGACTTACTCTGCAGCTGTCCATTGTTGAGAGGGGGAAGTTTGCCGATAATTTGTCGAATGGTTTCCGATCTTGACATGCCAACGAGAGCCTGAAAACAAGTTACGAAACTCTCAGGCCTGAGTAAGTAACAAAAGGAATGAAGAAAGAAAATCCCCTTAACACACTCACTCTGACACTTTATATCATTTTGCCTGTAACCCCCCATAAAAAAAAATGTTCCTGGGACCCATATGTCAGTCACAGCTGAAGCATTAAAGGTGTAAGATATGGCAGTCCCTGCTGCTGGGAAGTTGGTAGTCTGTGGTGATGAACAGTTACATTTTGTCAAGTATAGATGAGTACAATAAAAGAATCAGAGAAGAAATAGCAGGAACTAATCACACAACAGCGCAACATACCACTCAAAAATAGAGAAATACGCACCAATGAAAAAATGTGTGTGTGAATGTGAGTCAGTGCGAGAGAGAGAGAGAGAGAGAGAGAGAGAGAGAGAGAGAGAGAGAGAGAGAGAGAGAGTGAGTGAGTGAGTGTGTAAGTGTGTGTGTGTGTGTGTGTGTGTGTGTGTGTGTGTGTGTGTGTGTGTGTGCACGTGCGTGTGAGTGAGTGAGTGTGAGTGAGAGAGAGAGAAGGGGGAAAATGAGAGTAGGTGGGGAGGGGTGCGTGGCGAGGACTTACCTTACAGGCTAGTGTTCTAATAGCATCTGCATCTGTGATGGGTGTTTTCACGCTGAGCAGTTTCAACACCACCTGGAAGGGTAAGAAGGGGAAAAAAAGAGAAATATTGCATCAGTACAACTCCCCCCCCCCCCCCACCAAACCCCTTTCAACACTGTGAGTTAAGGGCCAAAAGGTAGGAGTGCACATGTTGAACAGTATATTCTTTCCGTAGTTTTATTCTATAAGGATTTCTACTTTACTGTACATCCATCCAAAGCATTTTCTCATTAATAATGAATATCTGCACACTTGAGTTTTCCTGAATAAAATTTCCTGAGGATGATCAACAATGTTTCATTAATCTATAATTTTAAAAGAAAAGTGTTTAAATGAGTGATTTTCTTAGAAAAAATGGGTGCCGCACTGGTAATGATAAGGGTACTGAAAATATACATTTACCACAATTCTTTTTTTTTTAAGGCATATTTTACTAAGCTCGTTACTTCTCTGACACTTTCAAAGCCAGAATCAAAAGTAAAACAACATACCAAGACAAAGAAATGCAATTTGTGAGCAAAACAAACGGCACCTCACATACCATAATGCCATTGTTTGTGCGGATGCTGTTCCACATGGTCGATAGGAGATCTTCCTCACCACTGTTGTTCTTCTTGCGACTGCTGCTGGGGTGGTACCTCAGAACTCCATTCCCAAACTGTTCCAAGAAGAAATTGCTCAAATGGATTTTTTTCTTTTACAGCAACCCCTACATAGCAGTCTTTTAGCGTTAGGATAAAGCAAAACCCACAGTTTAGAAAACCAGACAGAGAGGAAAGAAGTAGGACCTACCTGTGGCACCCTTTCACAACAAGTGCACATATCTTTTTCTTTTATGCAAACATTACGCAGGGTGGAAATACCATTCTATCAACTGATGGTCAAGTAAAGAGAAACACATCGACACACAGTCATGAAGAGCAGAGAAAAAGCAAGACAAAAAGAGTAAGAAAAGAAGTAGGACCTACCAGTGGCAGCCTCAACAACTTGCCCAAACACTTGAATATACACAAAATAAATTATAATTTGCCATTAATCAAAATCCAGCTGCATTTTATACTTGAGGAAATTAAGTTGGCCTGAAGTCTCCACTCATAAATCGACTAGTTACTATAATTTCAAATGCTCCATATCCCCCCCCCCCCTCCCCCGAGTTTGGTTCATGTAACAGGCAGGCTGCTTCAGCCCTGGCTGTGAGGATTAACCTGCGCTGAGAGGGATATAACATTCCAGCAGATAGATAACTCAGTAAAATAATTTCCTCATTCAGTATTTAAACGTATGTCTTCACCACGCAACGACAAACAGATGGCTGTGCAAGATCTCTCTTTTCACAGATGAACCAACAGCTTGACTCAACAAAAGAAAAATCAATACTCTATAGATTTAACTCAATCTCGACAGCCAAGGGACACAAGATCTACAAAGACAGTTGGTTACCCTTTCAAAAGGTCCACACACACAGTTACAGATGACCCTCAGCGCTGACTTCTGAATCTCGGCATCGCTGACCACTTCACCCTCTGCCAGACGCACCAGTATACTGGAGACGCAAAAAATGAAGGAAGAGCATTTCATAACATTGTACATAAAGCATTATCATGTCTTAAGACAGCCATCAGTCATAAGAATTCAAAGAGACAATTACAGTTGAGATTGTCCAAGATGGCCACCCACTGTCAAGGAGAACAGTGATTGTCTTAGACAGTGGACGTCTCGAACAGTGTCATTATAATATATTTTTTACGCGGGTGGGGGGGTCTGGGAAGTGACCATTCATACAAGTGATTATCTTGGACAATTGGCTGTTAAATCAGATTCAACTGTATTTACTATTTTACATAAGCAATCAAGATATCTAAACTTTCTGGACCAGTCACGAAATAATTAATCAATGGCATATTACAGTATAATACTTGAATTAGCGTTGAGTACATCTCTTTTTAATCATCATAATAAATTGTACACTGCATAGGGCCTACTTTCTATTACGGACGTGCACTTTATAAATACAATTCTAATTTATCATTATCATCATCAATTCTCTAGGACTGACCACATGATCGGCGTGACGACATTGTTCCTGAGGCTGACGTTGCCGTTGAGCAATAGCTGGGTCCTGTGGGACACGCTGCACATGCTGAGCACGTCCAAGGCCGCCACAATCGTGTCCGTCCTGCACAATAATAATAGATTGCATTTGTATAGCCCAAATTCCTGCTCAACAGCACGCTTTAAGTGCTTTACTATCTATATTATTACCTTAGCAGACATGATAGCATTCTGAAACAATCCCAACTTCCTGGGAAGCATACAAAAAAAGCTGTCATTTTTATGGGTGCGAAAACAGTAACATACTGACAAGATTTTTCAACGGCCAAAGCAAAGGTGGATTCTCGCCAATGTGTAGCCCTTCAGACAAAATGCTTATATTACAAGACTTCATAATAACTCCTCAGGCTTAAGTTAATTGGCAACGGCAGCCAAAAACGAAACCCCAAAAGAATACTGACATTTCTTTAGGTCACAAACTGAACTACATTTCATACAAACTACACATGAACATATGAAATTAAAATGGTACAGAGAAATATCCACCTAAACAAACTCACACTCCCTCTAATCAAAAAGACCCCAAAATTGTTCATTCATCTCTCAACAATTTTCAACCTAATCCATTCCCGGTGAAATATTATATTCATGGTTAACTACAACCTTAAAACATCTGGCCACCTATTTTCCCTGACTCAAGATAACCTACAACCATACAGCATCTGGTGACCTACTTTCCCTGATAATTCTCCCAGGTCGGGGAGAGGGCAATGTGCTGGCACAAGATGGACAGCCCTCCCAACTTGTTGATCAGAATCTCCGGCAGCCAGTCAGACCTGGGCGGCAGGTAGTTCAGCAATACATCCACTTCTTCTTCCATCGAATGCTTCGTGTCCTTCACACACTGGAGAACAAGTCGTACAGAACAGTGTGAAGTGATCAGTAATAAACAGAGACCTTCTCATATATTCAGTATCTTCTTCTTCTTTGCGTTCCCCTACTATATTTCAGGAGTAGTCGACTGCCAGTTCTTCAACCTGCAGTACAACGGATTTTTACAGGTGATAATATTCAGTATTAACGTATGATACCCAAAACATGTCCACCACTGACAGCTGTGAGAAAATAGCTGGAACAAAACTATGAATGTTTTATGAAAGTAAAGAAACTATTCTCCATGACAAAAAAAAAACCCCTTCAAAAAGGAATGTGTCAGTTCAGTAAATTAAATATCATTGGCCTGTTGTTCAAATGTACAACATCCCAATTTTTTTAATTTCTTATTTCATTTCATGTGCTCCACAAACATTTTGTTGAATATCAGATTCTAAATTTTGAAAAAGAACAAGAAAGAAGAGATACAGAAAATGGGTACAACTTTTAAAAAATTCAAAAAGTTGTTATCTCTACTAAAAAATTTTGCTTTCTGGGCTTAGAACAGTTAAAAGTTGCTGTCGATAAAGTGTCTGCATGAGTGCTAGCACAGCAATCCCCTCACCTTTCCCTCTCTCACAGAAGAGCTGCCTCCCTCATGGTGGTGAACCCTCCTCAGTTCATCTGCCTTGAGAATGTTGTGTGTCTTGAAGTACATGCGCAGTGTGCCACACACCAGGCGTGCTCTCTGTCGCATCTGGTGAAGAGCGTCCTCAGATTCATCGTTAGCCCCTTCCAGGCTGTGGATGCTCAGGGTGGAGATCTGGAAACAAAGACAATTGACATTGGTCAGAGCTTTCTGGCTATCGCTGACGGCCCTGGATCTTGTGCAATTGGCACAGGGGGTCATAGTTTGAAGGGACACTGGTCAGAGGTTCACACTGAAACAGGTCCCCAATCCTCCAGTTTCTCAAGATGATTTTAAATACTTTTACAAGGACTAAGAATCTTTTGTACTTGACAGGCTACATGAACAATAAATTGTAAATGTTTTACGTCAGCGAAAAAATCTTTGATTACTTCAGAAGCTGGTTGTTTTTGACTCTGTCAAGGAAAACAAAAGCTGCATGGGACACAGCATCTCAGTAAACAAACGAAGTTATATGATCAGGTAACTCCCTAATACAAGAATAGAACTTCAAGTCTTCTTTTACCAATGGTGAAAAGTCTTACTATTACATCAGACACTACTGAGATCAAGAAAAGTAGCACAGAGAGAAGAAGCAGAAGGAAAATAAAGAAATAAGACCTACCATAGACGCCATCTAATCACACAACAAGACAATAATTCTTCCCCATCCATTCCAGAAATGCAGGCCATAAGTTATGACTATACATAGGCACTTACCACATTGATGAGCTTGCGCATGCCGTCCTTCTGGTCAAACAGCCGCAGGATGACTTTGTATGTGAAGGACTGAGAGAAGAACAGGCAGGCGTGGCAGGTGCTGGAGTCGTGGGAACATTCCATCAGCCACAGGTTGTAGCTGCACGTACAAATGTATAGCAAAGTTTAGGATTCCAGATAAATTGAGTTCAGGACCTCATACACATTGTTTAACTATTTATCTCCGAGGGGAGTACACCCACTACACTGGGGCCCTTTTTTGTGCTAAATCTAAAAAGGACAAAAACGTCATTAAATCGAAACTAGCAAACCTATTTTGATAGTTCTTCATCTAATGAATGAACTGCGGATATAAGATGTCGAAGTCGTCATAAAGGAATGTGCCCGAGCCGCTGTCAATGACCCAGCGGCACAGTGGTTCCGACCGCGAGCCGCTGGGAGCAGCTTGCCGTAAATAAAGAGTTAAGGATTAGCAAACATACGATTTAACACATGTTGTTTATTATAAGGTGAAGGATTTAACACATATCCTCTGAAGTGCAGGATTTCAGTAATATATATATATTTTTCATTTTCAATTGCAGAATTGAACACAAGACCCTTTAGTCAGAGTTCTAACATTAACAATCATTAAAGTCTGGTATCCTTTTCCTTTTGCAAACAGTACATAATAACAATTAAAAGGAAACATGTAGTAACAAACTATGCAAGAACCAGTCTTAGAACTTAGCTTATTCTTTCATTAAGTTAGCCAAGTCAACAACTCTATGAAATAAAAACTTGAAAGTACTTACGAGACCACATCAGACAAGACACTTTCTGGGAGCATGCTCAGCTGTAAAATAGAAACAATTAAAATCATAATGTAAGAATTATATGAGAATAAAATACCCCCCCCCCCCCCAAAAAAAGGAAGAAACAGACACGACCACAAAATGGATTTCAGATTCACATGAAATTTTTAGTAATGAGGCCGCATTAGACTTAAATATATACTTAGAGCAAAGATTAACTTACCCACTCAATTATGCCTAGTAATAATAATAATTGCATTTATATAGCGCATATCCATGCTCAAGAGCATGCTTTATGCGCTTTACAACTATTATTACCCCAGCAGACCCTCTGAGAACACTCAGAAACATTCTCAGCTTCGGAAGAAGCATACAGTGCAAGCTGCGGATTTCACGCACTCAAACACTATCAAACCGACAAGATCTTTACTGTCTATAGCCGAGTACCCATTTCCACCTGGGTGAAGTGAGGAAAATTTGTGCAAAGTGCCTTTCCCAAGGACACAACGTCAGGCCCCTGACAGGATTCGAACCCACGACCTTACGGTTGCGAGTCCGAGAGCTTAACCACTAAGCCACCGACGCCAACAGCAACACTATGTCATGGTCATAACACATTTGCCTCAATCGTGATTATCTGGTTTCTAGTTACTGGTAAAACAAAAATGCTGGTTACTTGTTTCTTTGCATAAATACAGCAGGCCGCTGTTTCATGCACTTTAAATACATTTGGAGACATTTCCATTTTTGCTCAAATTATAGGGTTGATATACATGAGCTCAGTTTTTCATTTTTTAAACAATAATAAAAGATTACATTTATATTGCACTAATTGGCGCTCAACAACCAGCTCTATGCACTTAACAATCTATATTAAAGTATGCTCAAAACAAACAACAACAAAAATGACTTAGACAGCTGTGTTGTGACCTAGATAATTAGATATGGAGTAACACAGGGAGGAAAGACTCACTCACCCTCTCTGTTGCATCTTCAAAGTAAGTGATGTAGTAGAAACACAAAGAAACGCCTGTGGCTGCAATGGACGGCCTGTGGATCTCCAGCAACTTCTGAATGCCACCTTTGCTGATGAATTCAGCCGCAAACTTCTTGTGACACAAAATCACAGACAGGAACTGCAATAATTAGATTGAGAGCTTGTTAATGCAGTAAGCTCCTATCTACACAATTTAGATATTAACACATTACACCCTTAGGGTCTGGACGGGAAGTCTACCCCTTGATCCTAAGCAAGGGGAAGGTACCTACCTCTCGTGAATATACGCATTAAAAAAAACGCATTTCAAAAATACTAAACAAATTCCCAAAATCCTGAAAAAATACAAATTAGAAAGAGAAATTAATGTAGTTTCACATAAAATATAAGTTTATGTACGCACAAGCTGTTGGAAAGGTTCCAACTTTATTCAGTCGATGTCTCTGACCCGTCACTCTCACTCTCAGCCTCGCGATCAGGCCCTAGATCTAAATTCTAAACCGCTGAAAACTCTAGCGACAACATTTTCATCAATATCTGATTCATCTCATTAGTCATTTGCTTGTACTTGCTCAAATCCACCGTTATTTCCTTTTTCAAACTCAATTGTGCCGCTTTTCATCAAATCGAGACACCTTTGAAGTGTCGGAAACGTGATCGCATTTCGATTGGCTCTAATACTAAAACTACTAATCCGAAAAATTGCGTTTCGATATCAAATGGAAGAAGAAACATTTTTCAATAACTATGTAAACCAAAATCTCTGCCCCAAAGTCTTGTTAAGGCGAGACTTCGTTTCTAAAGACGCTTGGTCGGAGCGGGCGATTCCGACGAGTTAGGGTGGAGCGCGTAAGGAAATCTCGGGCGATCCAGGGCAAGTTAGGGTGCAATGTATTAAGAGAAGGCAGGTTGTTTTGACCCTGCCTAACAGGGCCAACTTTGGCTGAGAGAGATACAGTATCACTATACAATGACTTAATCACTACACCACAGATGCTGGTCTGTACTAAATAGATAGAACACACCATTTATGCAAAGATGTGCTTTGAGAACAGCAAAAGTAAAGATTGTCTCGTTGCCCGTTTTGAACTCTTAAGAAATGATGATGAAGCATTTTCTCTGTATCTTTACCAGTATTACTACTGAGTATGTGTCAACCCACGCTCTTCAACAAACTTTTATTGTGTAAAAGAAACAAAGCTGAGCTCCTGAAAACAAGACATTACATTTAACCCAACAGACAAGAAAACTTTCAAATTTTAAGAACAAACAAAAACAAAATACTCTTACCCTAAGAGCCTCAAACGCCAGTCTGACATCTCTGTTCTCATTCAGATTGATGTAGAAGAAGATCAAGTCCAAGGCATTGTGGGCCAGGATAGGACTCAACAGCTGTGAAAAATACAACACTTTTAAAACAAGGAGTGTAATGCTGTTACTCAGACCAAACTAATTTCGTGATCAAATGAGCAATGAACATTGCAGCACAATTAACATTATAAAGACAGGGAAGAAGAGCAAGAATACATACACAACTAACACCAAAAATAGCAATAAAAGAAGCAAAAGAAAAGCACCATAACACAACACCCCACCAGTTACCAGTAAGAAAATAGCTGTAACACAAAAATGATCCCAAGATGACCCTGGATGTTGTGTACTCGGTCAAGAAGTTCAAAATGGAAGGGGGGGGGGGGGGGGGGGGGGGGTGTTAAACTCTACTTTTACTAAGAGAAAGAAAGAGCAGATCAGAATCCATAACATCCAAATTGGGTCACACTTCTCACTAGAAGAGATTTTTACCTCGTGGTAATCTCCAAGAGGCGTCAGGTACTGAAGTATCAGACGCTGCTTCATGGACACACTCAACGGCTCCAAGCAATATGTACCGATCACATACGGACGGATTTCTGCCCAGCTGCTGTTGCTGTGCTCCGGGTCAAAGACTGAAAGAGACACATAGTAATTTTCATGTTGAATTTCATTTTACGCGTAAAGAAAGTTATTTCACGACAGGCGCTGTTTTCCTCACTTTACAAAGAGTTACTTAGAACATGATGCTTCACAGCATAAATCTACTTTCATTTAAACAGGTTTATAAGACACGAGTCTAAATTTGACATGCACAGGATGAAATGGTAAAATAATTCATATCGAAGGTAACTGTCTATTTTCATTGCTTTGTCAACACCAAAAGCAAATTTTAAAAGCTATAGTCCAAACAATGACACTATAACATCTTGCCAGTTGAAATGAAACAACTACCTAAAAAAAAATGTCGAGTTCTAGAACAAAACATCATAATATATTCCATACACTTTTTCCTTCTAAGCTAAACAAAATTATCATGCTCATGTACTCTTTTACTCAAACAAATAAAACTGCTCCTTGTGACCCAAAGAGAAGACAAACATTTGATGTACTCTATTTTAACCAAAACAAAAAATCCTGATCCAAATTGCTGGTGACAACCAAGCAAAGTTCTTAAACAACTCACAGCTGAGATTTTCGCTCGAGGTCCTGCTCCGTTTGGGCACACTGAAACTGTGGCTGGGGGACAACGACCTCTTCAGAGAGCCTCGGTAGTCTCCTTTCTCAGAGGCACTCGCCGGGCTCATATCTGTTGGTGGACCAAACCCAAGTTAATTTGATCACAGAAAAAGCACATTAACACCATCACAGTCATTTCGTGCAGAGAAAAAAAAAAGAAAGACCGACAGAAACAATGAGGGGAAAAAAAGAAAGTGTGCCCTCGAACCACCCTTTAAGCAAGCCATTTGTAGAGCCAAAAGGTGAAGTATCCACAAAATTGAAAAGTATGTGAATACACCACAGCCAAATCAATATAATTTAAGTTATTGCTTCCAGCCTGTGTGTCAGGGGCACTAGGGGCAGATGGGAGCAGTTCAGTAAAATAACATCTCCACATCAAACATGGCAAAGAGTGTAACAATGATAAGACAGAATTAACGAAGGAAGAGTAGTCACAAAATGGAACAGACAAAAGAACACCTTTTTATTTCACTGTGTATCTTTTATAAGCAGGGAATCAATAGTTATGGTTTCCAAACATTTGCTCTCTGAATTCAAAACTTACCCTACTTTTCATCAAAACTAACACTTACTGAGGTTACAAGGTTTCATTTTCTACATTCAAACTTTGTTGCAGAGATTGAAATTGTCATATTCTGTAAAATTGAGACATGAAGAATGACATACTGAGGGGCACTCCTCTAACAATCGATCTACAAAAATATAATTCACTGACCACCTTTGTGCTCAAGGCAAAAAAGCAATAAGACCAAAAGAGAAATATTCTTCAAAGAAAAGTCTCAATTCATCATTATTGGAAAAAACTCAACAGAAAATTTAGAGCGAGGGTCACATCTTCTTGGGGAGGTCACGGTAATTAACACATTGTCTGAGAAATACACTAGTAAGAAAAACTTTCATTTCAGTACCAAGTTTTTCAGACTCGGAAAGAAATCAAGATCTTTGGGGTCTTGGGGGGATTTTTTTTCTCTTTCTCGAATATACATGAGACAGAACCCTGTAGCTCTGAGATCATGAATGGCTTACTAAACTGTAAGAAGTGATCTGCTAGCACTGGAAACGAAGTAGCAGCTGAGATTAGTCTGGAATGCCTAGGGATCTGTACATACATTTTTCAGTGCCCTGAGTCCACTTTCTAGTAAAGAGATATGTGCCATATAAATGCAATCTCTAATAATATTATTTCCATTAATGGGAGAGAACAGGTCAGCCATTGAAAAAGTAAACAGAGAAAACTCTTTGAGAGAGAAATGAGCCCACCTTTCCTACGAGGAACAGAAGCAGGTGTCTCCCCTGTAGCCAGACTGGCAAAGTGTCTGGGCGACTTTCCAACCTCCTCCTTGCTCGACCTGCCCGTTTCCTCAATGCTACTGAGACCCTCCTGCTCTTTCTGTGTCTCCACCTCTTTTTTTGCTTCTGCCATAAGCTCATGCAGTCGATTCAGCATGATCGGGACCTGAGGAAGTAAATTAACGCACAACTGAGCCAAACAGTATTGGACTACCTCAACTTCAATTGCATTTCTGACAACTGCAAAGGATAGCAGAGATCTGTGGCTGAGAATATTCTTCCTCAGTTCTCCGTTCCTTCTCTTTTATCCTCCCGATTTATTCTCCTTCTCACCAGGTATTCCACTAAAAAACCGTTTTGTCATTCCATACAAAATAAAAAACTATTACCCACATGAGAAATTTAAGAAAACGCGTATTAAAGTTCACATCACTTACCAGGTGCAGGCTTTCGTCCCTGAAGCGCACAGCAATGTCATTGAGTTCCATGGCCCCTCCCAACAACCCTGTGGCATACGACTTCAGGGGCTCATCTGCAAACTCAGTCCAATGGCACAGCCTTTCAACTACACCTTCCTGTATGGAGATATACAAAATTACAAAAATGTTAGAGGTATATTCCAATGAAACTAAACTACTAAACTGGCCACAAAAGTACCGATACTCGAATGATATATATTTTTTTCCAGTGGATGTTGTGAAAAGGACATATATATCTTTTAACATCCAGCATTTATTCTCTTGTGTTAGCTGGCATATACAGTCAAACCTGTGTAAGACGGCCACCAATTGTCAAGGAGAAAAGTGCCCGTATAAGACAGGTGGCCGTCTTAGGCAGGACTGATCAAGATAAAGAAAACAAACCAATCCCATCTGAGGCCCCAATCGAAAGTAGCCCCATTATGTTGTCTTTGTTGATGTTGTTGTTGTTGGTTTGTATTTCGTTTGTAATTTTTCTTTTGTCGCTGATTTTGCACAAGGGTGACAATAAAACTAAATGTATCAGACAAGGAAGACTGAGTGCCATGTTAAAACAAACACATGGGTCGCCACCACTCGGAGAACGAGTGGCGCTTCTGTAACAAGTTCATGTTTGCACCAAAAAAAACAGCAGACAACTGGTAGTAATAATGACCGAAAAAGTCAAATTATAAGTGATAGTTAATGCCTTAGGCAGCCACAAGAACTGGTGCTACATTTTCTTTGCCAAGCCCCCAAGACAAACACAACAAAATTTTCTTACTAAACATTGCACTCAGCACAATTGTGCACACTTTTTCTTCATTGTAATGCATTTGTATTTCACTCAAATAAACAAAACAAGTAAGCAAATGTAGATCTTTGATATGATTGAATAAATATTTTCTTTTTAAAAACAATAATATTCTGTCTATATCTCCAAGGAGTCCTAAAGCAATCTTATCTGTTCCTAGATATGTAAAACAAAAACTTTCAACAGAACCTGAAGCACAACTATGATGCCTTCCTCCTCTCCCTTTTCGATTCCTGATCTTCAGTCAAACACTGTGCCTTCGAAATCACTAAATTTAGAGAGGCATTATTTAACTTATACTTAACAATGGCGCAGTTTTGAATTACTCTACTCCCTCTGAGATGCTAGCACAAAAACAAACTCATGAAATTAACACAGGCATGCACTCCTGGCTCAGTGTGAAATCTTACCGTTTCTCTAAAAGGAACACTTGTCTCTAACCCAGGTAGCAGCACAAGCAACACTCTGCAGGCCGCGGTGAATATTGGACCTCCATCACGATAAGAGCCTTTCAACAAGTATGAACCAACAATCTATGAAAAAGAAAAATTGGGCCATGAAATTTCAGTGAGCTATTCATGGTACCAGTACAGTAAAAGTAATATATATACATAAATTGTGACTCAACTCAATAGTTGAGGTATCAGAACTTGATGGACAAGAATTATTTAGAAAGGCTTTTCATGAACAAGCAAACCACTACAAAATTATTTTCAGTTACAAAGACTTTCCATAAACTATACAAATACACCAGTCCTGCATTATTTTTATTTACAAGGCATTTCCCAACAATATAAATACAGAAGACCACAGTTGTTTTGCATAGAGGAGCTTCCCATGAATAAATGTTCCAGTCTGCAATTATTTTTCTTGAGAAAGAGCTTTTAGTAAACAGATATATACCAAAATGCATGTTTCATACAGCTTTTAAACTGATTTGTATTTACAACAGCTGGGCGTAAAACAAATGTGGAGAACAATGGGCAAAAAAAATGACAATGAGTACAGACAAATGGGTCAGAAGAACACTTCTACCAGCAACTTACAGTATTCATAAAGTCCTCATTTTTGAAAATCACTTTCATCATCTGACCAAGGCCACAGGTGGGGATTTGACGCCCTGGACAAAACAAAAATCAAAACAGTCTTGTCATGAAAACAGCAATATCTGCCGCTGTATTAAATACTTTCTCTGTAGCTTATAACTTTATTGATGAATGGGAGCATGTATCAACATACATTCAATGCATTTACTTTTCTTAATTCCTGTATATCAGTATTTACTGCGGTATACGCATTTAAGTGACACACCAGCGACTATGAATAATTGAACTTCTCATTAACTGCGAGGAGAGAGGGAAACAGTGTAATTACTATTATGAAAGAATTTTTTAAAAGGCTGCAGTTTTAAATTTCCAGTCTTAAATACAGTGTATACCATTGGCATTTACAGATTTTCAACCTTTTCCCAGATGGCAGACAGTAAGAGAAATAGTGTAAAGGACAAAAAGAAAGTTGACTTACCGGGAGGCCTATCATCCAGGGGGTCAGGGTCCATTTTATAAAAATCCTCAGTAGCATGTTCCAGCAACTGCGCAAGCCTGGGGTAGAATGGAAAACAAAACATACAAAAGAAGTTGGCAAGCAGCCAGATACAGCAGTGTAAATTACATCTCATCCCTCACAATATCCATTTCAGGTTATTTTTTCTTCAATGCTATTTGCAATCTAATTTTTTTTAAAGAATGATCTTTTGTTAGTGATAGCTCAGGGGTAAACACTGGTGAAGGTTTCAGTTAAAACATGGGAATGCCCAAATGTTATTACACTGCTTCTCAAAGTTACACCAACCTGATTATGTGATCAGAGCCAAGTGCACTACTACCTTTAAAGCTTAAAAGCATTTTATTCAAGACATGTAAAATATAGTATTTTAATTTTTCATCTAAAGAAAGAACCCCCCCCCCCCCCACCCCCCAAGAAACAGAAATTAAAACAAACAAAATTCAATGCACACATCTCCCTTTCAACAACACCCCCCCCCCCCCCAAACAACCTTATAATCTTGTTCCTTCTCTACAATCCTACAAACTGCAAGTCTTGCAAGCCTATATGCAAAAAATCACAGCCGTCAGCCTATCATCCATAAATTATCTTATTTCAAAGCTTTATTATCAACTTCAGACCACAGTCAAATCAGTGGAATTGAGGAAAACGTTTCCTCAATAATCAACAAATGAATCTGTTCCCATACTGTAGACTAGGACTATTCTACTTACTTGTTCAAAATTGGAATAGGATCGAAATTTGCCTCACTGGAAAATTTGGCATTCCAGTCTTCCAAAGTAGCCTGAAATGTAGCTAGGCTGTCATCTCCCTGGGGAGCCATGGCGAGGCAATGTGAATGCTGCTGTCAACACCACCACTTCACAAACAGAACCTGAAAATTTTTTAAAGTATACTTTGAGTCTGGAAATAAATTTTCAGAAAAATACAAATCAGACTGAATAGTGAAAAAGGCAAACAGACAATATCTAAAACTTAGCATCAGTCATATAATTAATAAACCAGAACACCAGTATGTGCAAAATCAAAGCAGGAAACACTGTGAGATGAACTGAATGCTATGTTACAAACACTTGGGAAAGGGAGATCAAAAGGTGCACAGCCAGAGACAATTTAACCTCCCTTGTCACCAACAGCAACGAATGAGTGGAAGAGCTAGATCTAGTTGTCTCAATATCCTTTTTTACAGTCACTCTCTGCAATATTGAATACATCGCATGATGCTTAGAGTAGAAAAGGCTATTTTTCTTTTAAAACAATCAGGGAAAAATTCAAGAAAACTTGTCAGGAAAATGGGGGCGGGGCCAACTTCTGCGAAAATTCTCATCCTTAGCACTCAGCACTGAATGAGTCAAGAACCACGATCCATAGCAGAAAATATCAAATCCCAATATGACATTTGTCTCACTTGAGTGTTCAGAAGCCAAATTTTCCTTCATCAAAAGGGAAAAGCCACCATATCGAGGAAAACCCCCGAAAAAACAGAAAATAAACTAATCACCTGTGTCTGGATCGATAACAACAATAACAACAACATCACTGGTGCATGCATAGCCTACTGACTTGAATTCAGGTTCACAGTTCAGTAGCGAGGCGATTGTATAACTGGCTAGAAGTCAAGAGACCCCTGTTGGGCTAGCTGCATTTCATAATCATTTCTCGTTGTAGCAATGTCATATCTCTGGTCTCTGAGCAATTTGTAGCAAAAACTTCTCACGTGGTAGTTGGCAGCAATGAGGAGAAGGCCTTGTGAGCTGCCGTGGCTTAGGCCATGCCATCTGCTATGCGGTTAAGCTGTGTTCGACATCTAAAGAACAATGTGGACAGGTTTCTACAGGACAAGGTAGGAGTCGACAGTAGGAGCAGATCAACCATTATCGACAGGCTGTTTGACTCTGGGAGCCTGCTGGATGCTGTTGACCAGTTAGCGTGTGAGCTCATTTGGGATGAGATTCTGAGGAATTGCAGAGAAGACCATCCAGTGTCTGCAAGTTACTTGAAAACCCGCCTTGGCTCTATACAGCAGAAAAACTTCTTCACATGCCAGAAAAAGCAAAGCTACAATGCGCTGGACGAACATTAACTGTGAAAGCATCAATCACATATTCAAACAGGCGTTCAACTGGAAGAGGCAGAAATTGTTTGACTTGGTGTGCACAACAGACAATACCAGTAAGTCATGAGAACCCTGTTGGGCCCGGGGGATTACATCCTGTGCAACGAGTTTGGTAAATTTGTTGTAGGCAGTGAGACATGGCTGAAGATGCCTAAAAAAACACAAGAACGCCACTTCTCTTCATTCCTGACGACCACCAAGGTAGGAGCTAGCCTGGTATGCTCCCAGGGTAGCCAGAAACTGTCGCAGACACCCAGCAAGAAACCTGGCCTGGTCAAGCGCAAATGTACCCCAAGATCACAACTACTTAAAAAAAATAACAGAAGCTATGAACACATGTAGTTGTGACGAATAAACACAGAGTTCTTCAACACAAAGCTTTTGTTGACATTTGTTTTTATACAGTGACATGAGGTGACCAAGGTCCCACGCCCGATAGATTCTTTGGGGATTTCGGTATTTCATGGGTTTTGGGGGATTTCGGGGGTTTTCGGTAAAACATCATACTGCCATATCGACACAATCTGATCCAATCCTCCAAAATCAGGTGCATGAAAAAAGACAGCTCCAAGAAAAATGTGATTAAACAAAGCAGAAAGGTAAATTTCATGAAACATGATATAAATTACAAATTGTGTTCACTGACCAGAGTCATTCCCTGACCTAAACCAAACTCAACATCATCTGATTACAGAACTGATGCATTTCATTTGATATGGATGGGCATCCTTTTAAAGAAGTAACTTCAAAAGTGACCCGCCTTAATTGAAGTTAGTGATAAAGTAAGTGATTCATATAAGTTTAATAACTAAGCTTTGTTCTTAATGTGTGAGCAGGGTAAATGGGAGCGGACAATGACAAAATCAGCAATTAGTAGCAGATTTTAGCTCGCTGTTATTCTAGTACCAGTTTGACTCACAAAATAAAGAAGAGCCAACGCTCTTTGGAAATTGCCTTCCCGTTCCACTGGCAGCCATTTTGCATTTTGAAACTGATAATGTGCCAGGTAAACGTGAAGATCGTGTGGGTATTTTTTTATTATTATTTTTGCCCCCATGAAACCTCCCACTGCTATGGCTAGTGCGCATACAATGTAAACACAGTGGGTCCACCGGCAGGATGGTACTTTACCGGACCACCCGTCTGGACCCCTGATTACTACGCACCCCTACCCTAACTACGCACTCATATTTTTCTACATACGGACAAAATGTAGTTCCCCGGGTGACTTCACGCAGAGCGCAAGCCAGCGGCGAGGTGGGGTGAGCGAGAGGTGGTGGTTGAGGGTGGGTATGGGATTTAGTGTCAGGGGGTAGAGCTGTACCCCGGTATCAAACCTGCTCCTGCTCGCAAGCCCCTAGTTCCAGTCACAAGCCCCAAATCACTTGGTCAAATCATCAAATCAAATCACCAGCATAAGTTACGTCTAGAACAAACTGTAACCTCCTTGGTCTAGCCTAAGCTTCAAGTCCACACCAACTAGCAATCCGCGCAGATACTCATGTCAGACCCCCTCATCCTCCCCACCCTGCTTGCAATCCGTGAGTCCACTTATGTCAGAAAAAGAGAGCGGGGGGGAGAGAGAGAAATCCCGCTCACAGTGTCACTGCGCGGCGTAGCGCTGAAGTCTGCTCGATTAATCGAAGGCTTGCAAGCAGTGGACAGCCATCAAGTCTCAAATTCCGTCCGCAGCACACAAGTCTCATGATTCCCATTGTCTTGCTTTGTGCCAGAGAATTGCTCACAGCCCGGCAAGTCCCTCGGCTCCCATTTTTTTCTTTGGCTCCCAGGACCAGCTCGCAACCTGGCAAGTCACTCGGCTGATTTGCTGTCTTGCTGTAGCAGCAAGACCGCACACACTGTGAACTCTGAGCCGTGGAGGAAGGGAGAGGCTGTGCTTGTTTTGGTGCAAGACGTTGAGAGCTGAAGTTATTTTTAACTTCCTGCCGTGATCAACTTAGCCAATGGATAAGTGGGAGGGAGCGTATATTGTAGTAACAGAGACCTATGTTTCTGGTAGTAATAAGAAGTAGACTTAGATTACCCTAGAACGGAAAACTCCAGGGGTTGTTGTGATTGGCATTTGTATCGTATGTATGTAACCTATTTTGTAGATATTTTACACTCACAGTGACATAATACAGAAATTTAGGAGACGGGCTAGTCCTATTTCTACCCAATGTCAGAGCCAACCTGGGCAGAGAGGGAACAACGCCCCAGCAGAAAGACGGAGGTTCTCAGTAAAAATTTCTCCCCATATAGGAATCGAACTGAGGTCTTTTGTGTGCGACGACGAAGCGCCTGGCTCGTGTACATTAAAAACAAACAGGCCTTTGCATCGTAAAAATAGCCGAATCCATTATTAATTTTAAGTGCATCAAATAGAGCTTTTTATTTTTTACAACCCGACAATGGAAAAAAAACGATCTTGCACTTTTGGCGCAAGCCTCTCAACTCAAATAACCAGACAATCTTCTGTAATAAAAGTAGCAAAAGGGAGGCAAAGCAAAGCACAAGCCTCTAGCGCAAGCTGTCCGCTGCTTTGCAAGCCTTCGATTATTCGAGCAGACTCCAGCTCTATCAGGGGGGCCCCTGCACACAATAATAAAGAAAACACATACAAAAATGCAAAATAATGACATAAAGCGGATCATGGCGTTAAAATTAAGAGGACAATCATGATTACATATATCAATGTAACAACAGTGGGGGTTTCAGGGGGGCTGGCAACAATAATTTAATAATGACATGAGCGGACAATGGCGCTAATTGGACAATCTGGGTAGTTAGAGATGGAACAGGCCGAGCCTTGCTTCACAGCACTCGCCAAGTCGCGAGCAGGACCGAAGGGGTTGCAATATATGCAAATGAGAGCTCTCGTGCGCATCTCTGGCCCTCCATTGTACTTGGCCGGACCAGGAGATGGCCTAGCAGAGTCGCAAGCATAAGAATAGAGGCCGATGTGATTAGATTGACAAATTAGCCTCAAGGTGTCATGGTCGTGGGTCTAAGGGCACGGTCGTGTCGACAGAAAAATCCGGTAAGAGACATCAGTCGGTAGTTGGCAGTCGAAGGGTGAGGACGTAGGAAAGTGTGTAGGAGTGTGAGTAGGGGAGCTCGGAAAGGAAGATTAGCGGACCACTAGGCACCAGGGGCGCCATAGTGAAAGTATTTCCTTCCGGCGGTTACCGATGGTCCGGTAAAGTTACAATCTTACCGGTTCATCGAAGTTCAATCTGGCAAAAATAAATTTTTAATACAAAAAAGGCAGAAAAATATTACTGGCTAATGTGGTAGGGTTCACTTAGCCTACATGGCCACTTCTGTCCTTACCTTAGCAATCACTTCTGTTTCTTATGTAAACAAACGGGAAGGCAATTTCCAAGCCAAAGGCCAAAGAGCCCTTCAGAAAGAAAGTGGCTATTCTCACCCGCCCGGAAGTTCTCGCAAGATCAACTCCTCCCCTCTTCTCTCTCTCTCTCTGTCTCTTTCTGAATACTGTCTATCGGTGTGGACGAACAAATTGACCAAAACAAAGTAAAAAAATGATGTTAAAACACAAAAGTAAATTAATTTGGTTGTCTATAAAGATGCTACGGCTATTTAACTTCAAAGTGACTATTTCTCCGAACGTTCGGAGAAATAGTGCCGGTCTTTATTTCTCCGAACGGTTTTCGGCTTCCGGTCTCGTGATTTTTTGCCTATTTATTGCGAGAGTTCGGCGCCAACTTTCATTCTGCCTCTGGTCTGGGAAGGAACACGTACCGCATGGCAAGCCCGCCTACAGACAACCTTCAGTAACACCCACCACACACCCACCACCATCATGCACATGTACACACACTAACTAAACATAACTAGTGGGCAACTTTTGAACGTATGACGAGCTGAACTGTGGATGGAGAGACAGTGTGAGTGAAAGAGCGGGTGAAAGGAAGAATGTGCGAGTGTATCCACAGGCGACAGCAACTACAAGACGACGACACTGACCACCCCTGGCCTGGTCCACAGCTCACGAACAAAAGGAATGCAGCTCAGGCGGTGTTTTGCCTATATTATTGTCCATGGTTCGCAGGGAACAAGTGAGATTTTCTTTGTGTGTGCCTGGAGGGATGGGGTGGGGTATGAAAGTCATGCGGACGGGGATGAGCCGCGGGAGAGAACACGGGAATTGAATGAAAGAGTGAAACTGAAAGAGAAGAATGACTCATGAGTCCTGGAGTGAATGGATCCTGTGTTTCTATTTTTGTATACTTTGAACTGTTACTGAATAAAGGCTGAAATAAAGCCCGAAAAACAAACAAACACACACACACACACACTCCTCACTCTCCACTTACTACCACACACAGACACACTCAAACACTCACACATACACACACACACACACACACACACACAGGAGCAAATTTTTGGGTCTATATCTATTTCAATTTTCAACAGCTAGTCTAGATGAGATTTTTAGATGAGTGTAAAAACGTGAAAAAGAAAGGTTTCACAACAGAAAGAAATCAAAATTAGAACAGCCCATAAACAACAACAAACATTAACAAATAAGGGCGTGTGTCCACCTGTCCGAAGAAGATTGGCAGTTTTAACCCTAAATGTGCGTGTAATTTAAAAAAAAGTACAGGATATTAGATGTAAATTATGGAATCACACACATAAAGGGGCTTGCCAGTGTCAGTACATTGGTCGCAGCAGTGACAAACGCAGATGCCAGTTCTATGTGTCGTTATCAATAACCCTCCGTAGATCTAGATCTAGACAGCACACGAGTGAACACAACACATTACGTTTAAAAGCAGCACCTTTCATAGGCAACACGTCATATCTATAGCGAAAAACTGTTTGGAATTGTAGCATTTCTTTATATAAATATTTACGGCGGACATTTTTTGGACCGATTGAACCATATTGTATACGAACAATCTTTGGTAGGCCCATACTATAATTATAGATCTATATAATATCCGAAATTTGGGGGAAAGGATGATATTTCAGAGTGTTCGGAGAAATAGTGCCCAGCTTTATTTTCCTGAATGTTCGGAGAAATAGTGCCCAGCTTTATTTTCCCGAACGTTCGGAGAAATAGTGCCCAGCTTTATTTTCCCGAACGTTCGGAGAAATAGTGCCGGCCATTTAACTTTTCGAATCGAGCCGAACTACGCGGGTCGCCATTTTGTGTTGCCCGGAAATTCTCGCGCTACTCCTCTCTCTCTTTCTCTCCACTGCCCACAGACAAAATTGTACGCTTTTAGTAGGCTACAGTTGTAATGGAACGTTTGTTCACGGCACAGAATTCTACAATTTTTCTGTTATCACAGTGTAGAATTCTGTGGTTTAGGGCGAACGCAAAATTTGGTGAACGCGCACCGGGTGAGAATAGCCACAAGACTCGCTTGCACTATTCTCACTCCGGGTGAGAATAGAGGTGGCCCTTCAGAAAAGAGCCAGCTGAGAACTTCCACACTGGCCTTATAATTATAAGACCCTTACTCTATCACCAGTAACACAAGACATAAGATTACAGTCACCAACGTTACCAACAACAAAACACGACATACAGAAAAAAAAATATCTGCTGCATCTACGAGGAACATCAATATTATAATAAATTCTACTGCCTGCACATTATTTCATGACCATGCCATACAAATGATACTAACCTGCCAAATCAAAACTCAAAACTAGGCTTGAGTCTAGAATCTAGATATCTAGATCTAGATCTATATTTTGCTCATAAATTATGATACCAAGATTAAAACTTACTTTCTAAAACTAAAAGACAAACAAACACCACAATTATATTTTTCAGAGAAAAAGCAGCTCTAAAACAACTAAAAGGCTGACAAAGCATGTGATTAAAATAGTAATTAACAAGACATGTGCGAAATCCAAAATGAAAAACAAGTCACAGGCTCAGGAAAGTGAAACTAGAATCTAGAACCATAACTTTGTCGAGATATTTTACCGTGCAACATACTCTGATTAGAATCTCTCCAAAACCAATCGATGAAATACCTACTAAGATGCAATAATATTCAAAACAGTAAGAAATATCCGTCGTGGAAGCAAAACCCTGTCTTTAAACATGTACGATTTCACCACTTCAGTACACTTGGGGCGCCGCCATGTTTATCGTAGATGTTCAAAACAAAGTAACCAGATTTTTCAGTGTAAAGATGATCTTACCTATCAACGTAAGAGTTTTGTGTAAGATATTCTTTCAACAGTTAATAAAAAATCGAAAAAAAATTGAATTTGAAGCAAATAATTTCGAACAAGAAATAGAACAATATTACTAATATTACAGAGCTGATGATGTTTTATTTCTCAAAAGAAAAGACTTTGGGATTCTATAAATAGCTCTCACCCAAACACAGAGTTGACAATTTGGCATTCTATTATCACAATGTGCTTC